GATAGTCGTATTTTCGTTGGAAGCGTGTCTGGAGTTCTGGGCGGCGCTTAACAAAGTTATAAGCCCAACGCGTCCCGACGCGTGGCGCGTCGCGTGCTTCAAGAAGTCGATTTGCTATATCTTCCACTACAGATATCCGCGGAGGAAATCCTTTTGTAGCTAGGTCGAGGATATGTTAAACAAGTACTGATTCCTCTAGCTCGGTCATTTTCCGTGAATTGGCTAAAATATCGCGTCGTGAAGGTATACCAAGCAAACGTCGACCTAGCTTCCGGTGGTCTACAGAATAGGTCCTGGCAGCAGCTCGAGCACGTAAATTTGGTCTTTTTGCATAGCTTGGATAGCTAGGACTAACCGGCTTTCGTCATTTTTCAGAGGCATCCTTCGATGTAGAGAAATTTAATATTTCGTGGAGGTGTGGTGGGGTCGCCGGGTTTTGGCCGGTTCGCTTGTTTGGCCGGTTCGCTATACATGCACGTTATAACTTCTATTAATTATATTTAAGTTTACTTATTAGTTAAATAGTATAAAATTAATACTCTCTAGTATATTAATATTCTTAAAGAATTATATAATAACGTTATAGTAGATAATTAGACCTTCTAGATACTATATCTAGATAAGATAAATCTACTTTAAAGTCTTATACCTATAAAATAAGTAGTAAAGATTATAAAGTTATAGTATCTCTTACTACTACTATAAATTGACTTACTAAGACTTATAGAATCTCCTAGGAGTATATAATAACTGTGACGGAGCTGGATTTCATTTGACAGGATTTCATTCGCTTGGCCAAGCACGTGACGAGACTTGGCATTGGAACAACTTAAATAACTTCGCTCCTTTCAGATTCTCTTCTCTCTTTAGTTTGATTTCTTCGTACCTACGGTTTTAGTTCTAGCAATTGATTCAAAAGCTGTATACACTTTATCCTTTGTTGGCATCCGTGACAAATTTAGTAGTATAATAGATATCTTTAACTTATTATCGCTTTTAAGAATTAAAAATACTATACTAAGAATTACTATCTCCTCTTTAGCGAATTCCTCTTACGCGGTATCGTCGGTATCTATAGTTATTAAGTAGGGTATAAAATAAAATAGGATATACTTATTATAAACAAGTCTTAGTATAATATAAAAGGTAAAAAAGACCTCTAGAGGTCTATATTACTTTTACTACTAAAGCGGTATAGTAGGGCTATATTAAGTAGATCAAATATATAATCGATAGGATATTAACCTATAATATTAGTCATATTTACTTAAAGCAGAGTACTAATTTAAGAACTCGGAACACAACTAAATCGAGTATAGTTAATACTTAGTATACTAAATTAGAACAATATAGAGGTCTAACATTCTGAGTAAACAGAGCCTTAGTACTTGTCTGTTGCAAGCCTAGTCATGTTACGTGAAAAAATTAATACTTTTGCTCGTATCACGTCTTTTTTCCGTTCTCTTTTTACAGCCCTCCCTGCGAAAAGGCCTCAAGGTGTATAGAATTAGGGTAGGGCCAGGTACGATTGTAAGGTCTTAGTACACTGCTTTTATGTTGACAACATACCCCAACTTCTTACGGTCAGCATCTCTTGTCAACAAATAATATTTGTAACTGGACGCAATCAAAACGAGTGGTCCAGAATACCCAACAGGCGGCATCGCCCCAATGAAATATATTAATTGTTGACAAAAAGTCAGCCACAACTGTGGTTTACTTATGGTCAAACCCTCCAAAAACACGTGCACAACGTCTCTATGAAATGCTATATAAACCTCCTCAATCCCACTTCCGACCCCTTTTCTCTCCAGTTTCATTTTGGCCTTTGGCTAAGATCAAATGTAGTATCTGTTCTGCCCAGTGTAATAACTGGTGCTGTCCTTCCGGGACCTCACTTTATTAGCATATTTTTTGAATTGGGATTACGCATTTTGGTGCTTGCATCAAGGTTCAGAACCCGTTGTGTCTCTGGTATTACACTGCTTCCAGACGACGCGAAAGCTCGGCTGTTCATTACTTCTTTTCATCACGTAACTTGCTTCAGCAGGGACGTGAAGAAGATGATCGTATATGTATATGAGTGAGGAAATATCTCCTTCCTATGTAGACACATTGTTTCATTCTACCACAACACGTCTTCATCTCCATATATTTCTCTCTTTTCTAACCCTTTCGTCAACTTTTCAGTGAGGTGAGTGGCCCAACATTTATGTTTACGCATTTGAATCCTTTTGGAAACGAAGACGACGGAGAAAAAATACAACTCTCAGCAACTGGAATTCCATTCCATTCCAGACCGTCGCTAGCATAATTCTATTCTAGACTCCATTGTCCTATAGAACTTATAGAATTTCCAGCTGAAATTTATCATTTAACCGGGAAAAAGTCACCAAGGTCCGGCTAAATAATAGGAAGTACCTATTTGCTTCTAAGTTCTCGACTGCCTATATCGTAGTGCCCAGCCCTGTTCGAAATATGTCACATTGAACACCCTCATAATACCCTGGACTATGAATATCTTAAAACAGAGAGTCTCTATATTACCCAGTGGTTTACTTATACTTCTATTGCTAATTTGAGTACGGTACTAGTATTTCTATTCACTAAATCTGTTTAAAATAAATATCTTTTGTTTATGCAAAAGCTACCCCTAAATCCTACGATTTGATTGATTAAAAAACCCTCTGGAACTCTATAGAACTCCTAGAGTTCTAGAGACCAATCAATAGAAGCATTCCATTCCATTTAATAGGTGCTCTAGAAATACTTAATATGGAATATTCCACCTGGCATTCTAGGGAATATGGTTCCATCTGCCGAGCGTTGAAAAAATAGTCCATGGTGTATGAGAGTCTTTGGCTTTGGAAAATAGGCAGAGCGAGCCTTCGTAATCATCCTATAATTCTCTGTTATCCAAATCAGCAAATATTACAATTGTCCTTCAAATTACACTGGGCATTCTATTTTGCCACTCTACCACAAAAAGGTTTATCGCTATCCAGAATGACAAAACTTGACAACTTCCTCTAGTGGTTTTCCTGCTGATTTGAACCTCGAAAAAAACACAAGGTAGGGGCAAATAGCATTGCCATCCGCAATTTTGAGATACTTCAGCTCAAATAGTTCATATAAGGTCAAGGTATTTCCGTTCGAATCTTCAAGGGTCTAGAAATTTTTAGGCTACTCAAACCCCGAAACTTTCCGATGCGCCACGTGTGCAGTAAATCGAGATACATGTTGTGTGCCGTTACATAACGATGAACTTGCATAGGCTATTCGCTTATTTCATACCCTGCCAATTTGCGAAAGGGAACTTTCGTGCGGTAATTTTTCCGATTGCCTTCGTTCTGTGTGTAACGCAAGCATCGTTAGGATATTGAAGTTGAATATGACGAAACAAAGGGTCGTCTCGGAGAATGGAAAGAAAGTATAAATAAAACAAACTGACCTCACTTCCAGCTTCAATCCAGCGCATCAAGGCAGTTACAAGAGCAACAAAAACGTATTTCCACCAAAAGCAAAACAACCATAGCCAGGAATTTACTGTATCACATTATTCACACCCACAAACTTGAAAACAATGTCGACGCCATCTATCCCCCCAACCGTTCGCGCAATCTTCCAACCAGACATTCAATCCCCATCCCTTGTCCTCACTCGTCTCCTGACTCAACTACCCCAAAACAACACAACCGAACACCTCATAAAAGTCCACGCCGTCTCTCCATGCGCCAGCGAACTAACATGGGCGAAAAACTACCCGTCATTGATGGACTCCAATCGTGTAGCAATTCCATGTTTCGACTTCGTCGGAACGGTGATTCTCGCTCCTCCGTCCTCGCCTTTCCCGCCTGGTACCGAGGTTTATACACGCACGCCAGGTGGCAGGACTGGGAATGGAAGAGAGTATACGATTGCTGAGATGGAGCAACTGGCTAGGAAGCCTAAGAACTTGACGATGGAGGAGGCGGCGAGTGTTCCGATTAGTGCTTTTACCGCGTGGCAGGCTTTGTTTGATCACGGTGGTTTGAAAATGGGGTGGAAAGACATGGAGGGCAAGAAGGAGAATCAGGGGAAGAGAGTGTTGGTTACGGCTGCTGCTGGGGGGGTTGGAAGTTGGGCTGTGCAGCTTGCGAAGTTGGCTGGGGTAGGCGAGATTATTGCTGTTGCTGGTTCTAATAATGTTGAGTTTGTGAAGGGACTTGGGGCTACCGAAGTTGTGGATTATAGGAAGATCTCCCTTGGTGGTTGGGCTAAACAAAATGAAAGGGTAGATTTGGTAATTGATATGGTGGGAGGTCAGACGTTGACTGATGCTTGGTTCGCTGTGAGAGATGGGGGAAGGATATTGGGTGTTAATGACGTGCCCGAGAGTAGAAAACCAAAGGATAACTGCCCTGTGAATGTTACAGGTTATTTCTTTGTTATGGAAGCTTTGGGTTGGCAATTGAAGCAGATTACTGACTTGATAGAAAAGGGAGAAGTACATCCTGTCGTGGATAGTATCTGGGAATTCGAGGACTTCGAGGAAGCTTTCGCGAAGGTTGAAGGTGGTCATGCCAGGGGCAAAGTGATTATCAGAATACAATAGGGAGTTACAATAGGGAGTGGGAGAAATATTTATGGTCTACCTAGTTTATTTTGACTCTGTTATGAAACTAGCTAAGGTAGTAATTTATTGGCACCTAAGGCAGCTTACCTTCCCTATTTACACATCACCTATCTGGAAAAGGTGAATACATACAAGCCCTGAGGAAAATGTAAGCACTCTGTGGCTGTTACTGGTCCCAAAACTGTGGTGTAACTGGCGTTGATTTCCCAACAAGAAACTAACAAGGCCGCATCCCCAGTGCATGTAATGCGACCAGCTCATCAGTCCAATCCCAGACTTGGAACAAAAGAACCCTATTGGGGATACCATATTTCCGCATTTTAAAGCCGATAACTGTCAAACCTGTGATCTTTCTAGCCCCGCTGCCGAAGCATCCATATTGAGCCTATTCGAAAAGGTGGGAAAAGTCGACCACATTGTTTTCACGGCCGCAGACAAGCTGGCTCGGATGGGCGTCCAGGATATCACGCGAGAGAAAATCATTGCCGCGGGGTAACTTCGATTCATCGCGGCTCTTCTTGTGGCAAAAGTCGGTTCGAGGTATCTCTCCCCAGGTCCTGAGTCTTCTATTGTGATTACCGGGGGTGGTGCTGCCGAACGTCCAGTTGAGAACTGGACTGTGATCTCGGCGTATCTCGGGGCTATCAATAGTATGGCTCGAAATCTAGCGCTTGAGTTCAAACCTATTCGTGTTAATTTTGTGAGTCCTGGGCTTGTGGATACGGAGATGTGGGATGCTATTATGAGTCCCGAGGTCAAAGGGGGAATGTTTGATTATTTGGCGGGAAAGCATCCTACAGGAAAGGTTGCAACAGCTGCTGATATTGCTGAAGCTTATATCTATTTGATGAAGGATAGTAATATTTCAGGTCGTATCATTTCAACAGACTCGGGATCTTCACTTGTCTAGGATTTCGAAAACTTGTCAAGGTTCTTTCGGAGGCTTAACTAGAAGCTTGGTCGAGATTTTACAGTCAGTTACGAATTAAGCTTCAATAGGCTAGTTTAGTTTTATTTTCTACTTTATCAAATCTGTGAGTATAGTAGGAATCTGAACCCCTTAATCTTTGTCTTTAGAGCTTCTCAAGTCGGACTTAGTGTCCTTAGAGCTAGTAAGGAAAGCTAGGGGATATTTTAGACAGTCAAACCATGATTATTGAAAGCACACTCACCTTGAGTTTTAGTAGTATAGTTCAGATTCCCCGATAGATACGAATCCTGGAGATTGGAGAAACTAAAACGATTGAAAAAAGGATTTGACCCTGAGGGCTTCCTCGACCTCGATCAAAACTAGGTTCATCGAGATTTTATTCCTACGGCTTGTCCTAAACCAGTATATACACTGGACATTGTGCCAAGTTTTAGCATTGTGTTTCTGAACACTTCTTTATTGATCTCCTAGATTGTACGCAAGTAGGGGGGACGATCAACTCAAGGTTAGCTGAGGCATTAGTCCTTAGATGTGGGAATGAAATTCACACAATTGGAGAAAACATGAATTTATTTTAGAGGTTTTGATAGTAGATTATGACGAAGATATTATTTCATGTTCTCGTCGCCTCTCTTTTTATATTTTACTGCAGCCATAACGGACACAATCAACCATACAGCGCCTCCTCCAAGCATGGCTGTGAGGGTTGGAACCCATGATGGAGGCTCGGGCCATGCCCTCGCTAAGCACTGACCAAAGTCCCCCCGCTCAGCATTGGCCATTGCTCCACTGCTAAATTGGTTTCTCCTTTTCTACACTTTTCTACTCTATTCTTTTGACGTCACGTATTTGTCAAACAGTTTCTTGGAAGACTCCAGAAACTCTTCCTCTCTCTATATATAGAGGAAGAGATTGCATGTATGTAGTCTTCACGCACTTCTTAATTGAATATTCGAAACCACACCTTTGAGCTATTCGAGGNGCATGTATGTAGTCTTCACGCACTTCTTAATTGAATATTCGAAACCACACCTTTGAGCTATTCGAGGTCTGGCCTCTCACAATGGCACCCGAAAAGATTATAGCGTTCTGAAAGTTGGCCTTCTGGAGGTCCAAAAGTGCCCCAGCAATAGGTCGACCGATCAAAGTACTAATCGAAATAGCCAGCCATACCATGCCCATTCTTGTACCTATCACCGACATCGAGGGCGAAAGCGTAGGATGAGCAATAGCCGGTGCTGGTGCTGTCACTAACGCCCCGGATATAAAACCCCACAAAGCACAGAAAGCAATGAAACCAGCAACATTTCCAGCCTCTAGCTAAGAAAACATGACAACGACTGCCGCCGGAGTCTAGAAAAACAGTATTTGAACCGAACCCAAACGATTTGCGATTAGGAGTGGAACGATTTGGCCGAAGAAAGAACTGGCGTTGAGGATCGATAGGAGATACGACGCGAAGTCATGGTCGCAATGTAGGCTATATATAGCATATGTTGGGATGAAAAATGACGGTATATAGAAAGCAAGGAATATCAGGATGAGGGAGATCGTAAATGTGGTATAGGGAACTTCTAAGAAGGCTCTTGAATTGATGATGGTTCTTGTCGTCTTCGAATGTGAATGTTGGTAACGACATAGGAGAAGCACTGCCAGGAGCAGATTTCCTAAGTTGACAAATGCGATTGATCGGACAGTCCAGCCAAATCCAATGCTAGGTTGGAGTTTTCTGAACATGATTGGGAAAATGATGCCACCTAAATAAAATGCGTAGCAGAAGAACATCTTGTTAGCTTCGCTTAGAGCATACAATTTCAACCATCATAGAAATCTACCTACCAATACTGGAGCCCGAGGAGGCACATCCAATGGCAAAGGGCCTTTTGGTTGTAAATTGGGTTGATATGATCGCTATTGCAGGTGTGTAGACCAAACCAGCACCTAAGCCAGTACAGATACCTTGAGCTAGAAGGAGTTCAAGATAGGTCTGGCAGATACTCACCATGATCATGTCAAATACCACGAGAAAGCAGCCAATCGAGATCGTCGAACGTATGTATCCCATATCGAAAAGAGAACCAGAAATTGGCCCAACGCTTCCAACTAAGAATGATTGAATGCTCCCAAGCCATGATATTTTCGTAGATGATTTACCCGATAACAACTCGGTGGTATAATATGACTGAAATGCACCAAAGCTGGTCGTGAGGCCCCTTGAGATATTATCAAGATCATGCTTCAGGATTTAGGGAATCATGTATGTTATATATACCATGTATTTGCAAAGACAAAGAATCCACCCACAACATAGAGCCAGGCAGTAAAGCCTCCATTTGTTGGGTGCAATTGAGATCTCTCGGTATTTCTCTCGCTGGTATCAACATATATATTCGCTGGTTCGGTTGTGGTGTTGGGCAGTGGGCTCAAGCTCTGGGTTCTTGATATTCTGTGACATGATTGAATGGTGTGCTTTGTGCTGAAACATAGGAGGCTTGGAAAGACCTTTGCTGACTACTGTAATTGTTTGAGCCTAACTACCACTATTCAGTGCGTTAACTTATTGGGAATTATACCCTGAACAACAATAATAATACACAACAACAACATTTAGTTTTCTTCAACAGACTTTCAACCCACCTCCTAGCTAGACCTTCTGTAAGCGTTGCTCATGGTAAATCTTTGGCTTCAAGGGTGAAGATCCGAAAGAAATCCGTAAGGGTGTTCACGAAACAACTCTCATAACCAGCACGACTTTGGGATCTGGATAGGACTATGTAGCACTAGTGACGAGTGATTTAGTAGCGGTCGGAAGATCTAGCTCAAATCCACACTAATCGTGTGTAATTGCTTCTTTTTGCAGGGCAAAGGCTTATTTCGAAGAATAGAGGGGATGGGAGCTATACAAGTTCTTGGAACATGAGCGGATAGGGCATGGGTAGACTAATAAGCGTTCAATCCCAAATCTACTCTTACGATCGAGCATATTTGTGCTATTCTATTAGCTACGAGTACAGAGACTAGTACCCTCACGGTCGTCGTACCTTCCCTGTTGTCGTACCCTCACTCCTTACTATCGTTGTACCCTTACTGTTGCTGTACACCCACCGTTTTCGTACCCTCATGGTTGTCGTACCCTTACTATCCCCATGCAAGTTCCCGGAGTACATGGGGTCCTCATCACCGAAATCATAAATTCTTTTTTTGAGATTCGATCCAGACTTAGCCCCAGATGAAGATCAACACCTCTTGCCTTTGACAAACCCGTGCTGCAGCCAGATAATGTGTTATAAGGAAGAATATGACGGTCTCTTTCCAAGAAATCTACTCTACTTACCGATATCAATATCTACAAGTAGAGAACTGACCGCACGTGGTACATTATGCAGTCATACAGTACAATCTCAGGTAGCAAGGGGAATTCAGACTTGCAGCTTGACTTACAGTACCAGGATTATGCTGCAGGCAACAAGGTAGGCAAGGATTTTGATATGTAGAATGACTTTGGTGGGCCTTTCAGCAAATTAAGGCTTGATTCAGAGGGGTCTATGTTGTACTGTGGGCTCCCAGTAAGGCAAGCGACCTTTGGGCAAGCTGGTTGGTTGACTCTGGAATATTCCCCATAGGATATATTTATACAGTAAGGCAAACAGATTTAAGAGTTATTACAGTGAACTCGCTTAGTTGACTTTAGACGGGAATCAATACCTAACAATAAACAAACCCAACAACAAAAAAGCCACGGACGTATTAGAAATAACATGAATCAATAACCACCTACAAGCAGGATTTACACTAAAACATATTTTATTCTCTAACCCTCTATTTAGGCACCCAAGAACCCTCCAACAACTCCCGCAAACTCCCCCGGTTTCTCAACCATAGGTAAATGCCCCGCACCCTCGATAACCTCATATCTTGCACAATCCTTCCCATACGCAGCAGCCATATCCTTCATCGTCCCCGGTAACACGCCATCACTGCCTCCAACAAGAAATATCCCCTGGACCGTACAACTCTTCATCTCTTCCTTCAAATCATACTCCCACAGCGCTTTAACGCTATGCCTGAAGCCCTTAAGACTATTACTAGCGACCATCTGTTTCACGCCCTCAAGTTTCTCTGCCAGAGCTGGCTCTTCATAACTCTCCTTTACAAACCACCGACGGGTTGTAATCTCAGCTAATTCCTGTCCCACTATTGTCTCTCCAGATGACGCGGTAGCAGACTCCTTCTCAGCGAGGGCGATACGTTCGCTCCACGCTTTTTCGTTGCCAGCCGGTGACTTGGAAGAAGTATCGCAACTAATGAATCTTTCCACTCGCTCGGGATATTTGAGCGCCACGTCCAGGGCTGTGACACCGCCCAGACTTACCCCTATCACCGCTGCTGCCTTTTTGACTCTCAGAGTGTCGAGAAGAGCAATCACATCGGAGGCGAGGAGGTCTACTGTTATTGGTTCTGTGCCGCAGGCTGAGAATCGGCCGCGCTTGAGGTAACGGAGGATACGGTATTTCTTGTTGGAGGGGGAGGAGAGGAAGGATGTTACGAAGTCGTCCCAAATTCCGTAGGTTGTGAGAATGGAGTTGCAGAGTACGATGAGTGGAGCATTAGGGTCTTGTGAGCCTTCAAGGCGGTAGGGGATGACTACTCCATCAGGGGTTGTGATGTATGATTCAATGACTCCGCCTTCTGTATTGCTTGCTGATGCAGATATGGTTTTCGTAAGGACTGGACTGGTAGGATCGGTGGAGGTCCAGTTCGAGATGTCTGCAGAAAGGTAACGGGGAGCTGCTCCAAATGTGTAATATAGATTGTACACACGTCTCTGTTTATCTTTCACCACATTCGACATGATCTCAGCTTTCCAGGGCGTTGAAGTAGAAGCCTTGAACTCCGGCCCTCCCAACCCATTCTGCGGTGTATATTCATGAAGGCCTACATACTCAGTGGGCGCATCTGGATCAATTGTCGAAGTCACAAACCTCCGTGACCGTAACCACCCAGGAACTTTGGCAAGCATATCAACATGTTCCTCCCAGTACCATTTGTCCAATTTCTCCAGCATTCCATCTCCCGGGTGCAATTTGAGGAAGACTGCCACTACAACGTTGCCCTGTCCCTCGTTCTTCACTTCTTCCATCTTTTTAAATTCTTCGGATTCCCTGCCCGCAACGAAGTCGTAGAGCTTTCGGTCAACCTTAATTTGTGCCATTGTTTCGGCCTCTCTTGGGGTTTTGGATGGAGGACCACGAAGCCGCAGATATGTTTCTTTGGTCAATTCGGACATATCTGTGATATCATACATCGCCATCCATTCCGGCTTCCCCTCTGAAGGTGTTTCCCCACCAAGGTCGTTTGCTCGATATCGGAAGCCATTGGCACAGAAATCGAGACGCAGACGAGTTGGGCCATGTTCATTGTTGTACCAATCGTGAAATTGAGATTCTGGCAGCCCAGCTTTGGGCTGCATCGTCACGTAGAGAAGTCCGGAAGTGGGTGCCATGGTGGACTGTTATCTAGAGATCAGTGTATTCAAGATTGGACTGGATTAACAGACAAGATAGAGAGCTAGATGGTTGGAGAAAGAACAGAGGAGAGAGGGACAAAATGACATGGTTGAACACTTAACCGTTGCATTTACCTTGATGGATCCGATTGATCTTTACCCCACCATGGCATGGGAACGATCGTGGGGTCAGCTCACCTTCGTCAGTGATGCGACTGATGCGGGGTGAAATCGCGGCAACTTCAGCGGGAAAGAAATTTCGAGTCCCCTAAGGGCTCCACTGCTGAAATGAACGCCAAGACTATCACGTGTGAAACCCCAAATATTTGCATCCATGATTTCAGTCAATGGGTATTTCATCTCCAAGTATATAATATATACTTCTAATCATACCAGATGGCATTCATACCAAACCCCGGTTCTTTGACATCACAATGAGCCACTCTTCCAAGAAATTCATCCTTCCATCGATAGATTTCAATCCAACCTTCCTGATCATCCGTCAACGCGAGATACTCATCACTCCATGGACATGGGCTGACTGCATTCGAGTGACCGCCACTGGTAGGCGTGGGATTGAGACAGATTTGCCTTTCAATATTACCCGACGGCCCTAAAGCGAAAGTTGCAATGTATCCAGTGACCTTGAAATCATTTGATCTCGACGTGGCGAATAAATACTTCCCGCTCTGCGATAAGAAGACAACATCCGATCGGTACATCTTGCCATTCACATTTGGAATTCCTGATTCTCATTAGTCGATAACCGAGTCCGAAAAGGGGGTAAAATTACCTGGAGGGATGAGCGGATATGTCATATGAGTGAAAACAGGAAAGTGAGTATTTTCATCAATCACATAAACAGCCAATCGATTTCCAGCCTCCATCAAAACATACAAGTACTTTCCACTTGGATGTATAGCCACCCATCTTGGGTGATCCTTTGGATCCGGAGCTTCGACACAATTGGCTAAAGTGAGAAGTCCCGTTAATGGATCTTTCTTGTGTGTCCAGACTTTGTTTCCTCGTAAATCTGCCGAGTAGAGAAATTCTTCATTGGCATCGAACACCATACCATGGATTCCGGTTTTTGGCATATACTCGTAGTTTTGAACGCATTTTTCGAGAGCACCCTCTTGGTTGGTGGAGAAAACATTGCCACAGCCAGCGTGATCGTAGAATGGGTTTCCATAGACATTGAAGGGTGTCTTTTTGGCTGCTAGGACGAAGATTGCTCTTGTATTTGTTTCTGAACTTGCGGCTAATGCTGTGGACCTTTTAGAAAATTCTCTCGTGATAGGGACGAGAACATACGATCGTGGCCCATGGGATGTGATGCATTATGAAGAATCTCTGTTGGGCTCTTCACCGTAAAACTTGACCATTTCTTCATGGCAGCTCCATAAATTGTTTTCTTGGAGTGCTACATGGACTGTTAGAGAATTATAGCTGATTGTTGAAAATTTACCACTTACATTAAAAGTCATCCATGAGATGGGCTCATCTTCAGGAATTGGTGTCCGCTTGATCATTTTCAAGGCCAGGGCTTCGTCGTCAAACTGGAAGGTAAAAATGGCCCCAGGAGGAGTCCATGTCCCAACCATTAAATGGTGTAACATTTTGCGTCGTGGAAGGGAAGATATCCTTTGCATTCAGCAAAAGTGGGTGGTAAAATAGGAAATGGTTTGAGATATCCAGATCGGAAATGAAATGAAGCAATGCTCTTCACAGAAGATCTTCACAGAAGAGAGGAAAATTGCCTAGTGATAGCACCAAAATCCAAAAAAATATTTGAAGTTGGTGTTGATATACCGAATCATAAGGGTGGAGGGAAATAATTGAATGTGGCGCATGTTCTGATTGGAAGACCTTGATGTCTTGGGCAAGGGCCATCGGCTATTGATTTAACCGGGTGCCAATCCATTCACAAAAGGAATAAACTTCATTGGCAAACTCCACGGTATTTTCTCAAAATCTACTTGTGTAGCTTTATGAGGCCCAGAGTCTTCGATATGGAGATGCTAGCGGCGAAAGAAAGTGTGGCATGCGGTATGCGAAATTCATACCCCACGGGCAGGGTACTGAGAGGAGAGTCAGTGTTATATTCCAGCCAATATCTTGAGAACTTTGTCGGAGGGAAACCTTGGAAGCGTTTTCGAATGATCACATAGACAATTATATGCCTCCTCAATACTCATTTCAGAAATTTTCGTTTTCCTGCTTTCTACTCTTATCTTCCAGCCTCGACTTGACGCCTCTCTGCGGAAATGGCTAAACAAGAACTTACCATTAGATCCAACTTCCTAAGTGTTTAGACAGACTCACTATATATATCTCGCTGAGAACTGAGATCTAGAACAAAGTTCATTTATAAGAGACTTCTCTTCTCCAAAGGCAGACCTGGTCGAATCACTCATGAGTTTCGAGTAGTCCCCGAAGAAGATGGCCTGGGTCTTCCTCCGTTCTCAAACCCTTGGGACATCCTTTCGAAAACGCCTTGGTGGGTTGGTCATCGATCCCAGTGTGTGGAATAAACTATTGGGTTGATAGTTTCAGTCTTTGGGTGTGGCAGCTGGAAAGAAAGAAGAACCCAGGTGATTCCATGTTTCTTCCGGTTGGTAAACAAAGTCGTGCCTTCCCTCTGCCGCAAATACAGTTTTCCTAGATTGAGCGAGGATACTTACGACGCCAGATATAGTATTGCGAGGAAGGAGCGGCGTGGTGTGTCATCGAAGGTTGAGGTTCAGCCCAACTTACGTAGGGAAGGAACGATCTTGTCTCGACTCCTGACCTCCAAACTTCTGAAACAATCCCCCTCTTTCAAGACGAAAATATGGACTCGAAAAGCGTGCGAAACAGACACCCACTACTGGAATTGACCCCAATTGGTGTGTGATCTGCAGTTGTTCTCGTACAGCTCGCAGAACTTCACTCGATTGGGCTCGTATTCATCTTACAGGTAGCAAACAGTGCCACTCTCATATTCTCTCAGATCCGCTACCTTTATCTTGTAGAACTGCGCATATACAAAGAATATTCCCCTGTGTCCTCAAAACAACATCTGCTGATGACTGGAGATCATGTTATAAAGTATCTCCAGTTGTAAAGTCATACGGTGATGTGGTAGAGTTGCGAAAGATCGGGAATTGATAGAATTAATAGACGACCGGATGCGAGAGGCTGATGAAGTTTGGCACAGGATTTGGGAAGGAGAAAGACTTTGGGGTCTCTTACTGGTTTAATCTTGGGAGAGGTCTGGCAGAGGAGATCAAAGGGTGACCTTTGAAGGAAGCACCTGCCTCGATGAATTCTTGCGTAGAAGAGGAAGGAACCAATTGACGCCTCGTTTGAATTTTGAACCTCCCTTCCCATTTTCAGGCATTCTTGCCTTTGACTGAGAGAGTTCGAAAGTTTGGCCGGCTTTGCCTGCTCTTACAATACTTTTCTAAGACTTCGCTCGTTTCTATCTAGACTACAGTACTTTGGTTGATGTTTCTTTCTCCACCCAAATGGATGGTCCACAAGTAAAACTCTGCTACTCACCTTATAAAAGCCATTCTCTTCAACCTCCAAGTTTACCCACTTGCAAGTATTTTTCACGTTCGGTTGATCAGTCAGTCACTACAAGCTGCGTTCCTGGGTGTAAAGCAAGTGTCATGGAACTATCGGGAGGGCTTCTGATATATTGGGATTTCAATGACTTCGATTAAAGCAAGTTGAAAACATCCCTAGATCGTTCATCTTTTATCGAGTGACGAGTTTTTGTTACTATAAATCTCCTTTAATACTGATTTTATTAGAGCCCTCGGAGAATCAGAGTATTGTGGCTGAAGGCCATCAGATGTGGCGCTCTAATTCTCCCCCACAACTTTATTTGCATCAGATACTGCCTTGCCTACCTACAGTAGTACTGCAGCTAGCGACTCATACATTGCATGGCTCGCATCTTCCCGTAGAGAAGCTTAGCGTAACGACATCTCCCTCACTTATCTCACCACACTTTCCCACACTTGCTAACAACGCTGATGCCACGCCATCTGCACGACATAGTACTGTAGCGAAGCACAAAAACCACGCGATGGCAAAAGCAAGACATCAATGCGAACTGCAACAAAAGTAACGTCGTCGAGAAGCTCCCACGAGGCAGGGTCCCACAATTTGGGTCTCGACCTTTTCCCAAGCGATTTCAGCCAGTCCTATCTACTCATCCCCTCACGTGAGTCGTTGGTTCGTGGGGTCGGATATGTTGGTGTGATAACGCTAATTGAGGAAGGTCTCTCGGTAGTCGTGGAGGTGATCCTAGGTTCCTGCAGCGTGGCTGCAGGTGCTTTCCGATGTGGAAACCATGTCCGAAAGACGATGGTGGGGAGCTATCTACTGATAGAGTATTGATTCAACCCCGCAGTTGTGGTGACACCATTGTGCAGTGAATGTTCAGTGTTCAATCTGGGAGAATGTGCTTCGTGTTATTTCAGATGATGTCTCTAACTATTCAACAATTGATGGAGGAACAAATTTATATGAATCCGCCTCCTTGATATTCCGGAAATGCCTCTAATAATTCGATTGCTGTGGCTCCTGATCGTTGGGATTCTTGCACACAGTTGCAATGCTCAAAACTACATTAACACCACCGTGTTTGACCCACTGAAGTATGTCAACCAACTCATCGGCACCGATAATGGTGGAAATGTTTTCGCAGGTGCTACTCGACCTTATGGAATGGCAAAAGCAGTTGCAGACGTAGATGGTCAAAACACAGCGGGTTTTTCAACAGACGGCAGAAATGTTACCGGGTTCTCCCACATGCACGACTCGGGAACTGGAGGCAATCCTTCGCTCGGAAACTTCCCTCTCTTTCCTCAATACTGTCCCGGAGACGAGATCAATAATTGCAATTTCTTGAAGGGTGCGAGAAAAACAAGTTATGTCCGCAGTAGTGTTGTAGCAACGCCCGGTTATTTTGCTATCGAGCTAGGGACTGGGATTAAAGCTGAGATGACGGTTACTGAACATGCCGCTTTGTATCACTTTGAGTTTCCTGTTGGAGCAAACGGGACGGGAACAAACCCATTGATCTCGTTGGATCTCACGGATTTGAATGCTAGTCGCCAGAATGCTAGCGTAAGTGTTGATAGTGACGGGAGAATCAAAGGAAATGGGACTTTTCTTCCTAGTTTTGGAAGTGGCTCTTTCATCTCACATTTTTGTGCGGATTTTCAAGGCGCTAATATCAAAGATACGGGTATCTGGGTCAATAATCGTGCTGGGACAGAGCCGAAGAGCATTTTTGTTACGAGAGGTATTAATGCCTTTTACCTGGAGGCAGGAAGTTTTGTGAGTTTTGAAAGACCCGCGAATGGAGTAATAAGTGCGAGAGTTGGTGTTAGTTTCATCAGCGAGGAGAAGGCGTGTCGTAATGCGGAAACTGAAATTCCAGGGGAGAAATGGGATTTCGACGGGATCAAGAAGAGTGCTGAAGAGGCTTGGAGAGAAAAATTGAGTGTGGTTTCCGTTAATGCAACAGGTGTTAATGAGAGCTTGGTAACCAATTTTTATTCTGCGATTTATAGGACTATGATGTCTCCGCAGAACTACACCGGTGAAAACCCGCTTTGGCAAAGTTCAGAACCTTACTACGATTCCTTCTATTGGTATGCCCATCTTCCGCTTGTTCTGCTATCACGTTGCTTGAGGCTAACCTAAAACCAGTATTTGGGACGCATTTCGCTCTCAGCTTCCCTTCCTCACGATTGTAAATCCTTCGACTTTAACTGAGATGATCCGATCCCTACTCGATACCTACAAAAATGTAGGATGGCTCCCAGATTGCCGTATGTCTCTTTGCAAAGGCTTTACACAAGGAGGATCCAATGCGGATGTTGTCCTCGCTGACGCCTTTGTCAAAAATCTTACTTCGGCAAATTCAACATCAAAGATTGATTGGAGGTTGGCATACCAGGCAGTTCTGAATGATGCTGAGAATGAACCACTTGATTAGTCCGTGGAAGGAAGAGGAGGTCTAATGAGCTGGAAGGCATTGAACTATATTCCATATCTCGATTACCATTACCTGGGATTTGGGACAAACTCCAGGAGTGTGTCTCGCACATTAGAATACTCATACGATGACTTTTGCCTTGCAGTTCTATCCAAAGGGCTTGGAAAACAAGACTCTTACACCAAATACATGGCACGTTCAATGAATTGGAAGAATACATGGAAGGAGGATCAAAGGAGTGTTATTAATGGGAATGACACCGGATACGTAGGATTCTTCCAGCCCAAATATCTGAATGGGACTTGGGGATTTCAGGATCCGATAAAGTGTGCTCCCATTGAAGGATTTTGCTCTCTAACGTCGAACCCGCAAGAAACTTTTGAAGACTCTATTTGGGAGTACCAATTGTTTGTTACCCCCTCTTCTCTCTTTCCTCTTCGCTAATTTAGGAATAGTTACGTCCCCCACGACATCTCAACCTTGATAACTCTCCTCGGCGGTCCCCAGACCTTTGTAGAGCGCGTCAAATACCTCCACCACGCAGGCCTAACAGACATCGGCAACGAACCTTCCTTTCTAACTGCCTTCCTGTACCACTACGCCGGCCGACCCGGTCTCTCCTCCCAGCTGGTCCATCAACACGTCCCGGGTTACTTCAACGACACGACTACCGGCCTCCCAGGGAACGACGATACCGGTGCCATGGCCAGTTTCAGCGCTTTCGTTACCATGGGTCTCTTCCCTAACCCTGGTCAGGATGTGTATTTCATCACCGTCCCTCTCTTTCCGGGGATTAATGTTAAGAATCCGGTCTCTGGGAAAGTGGCTAGTGTTAGGAAGACCGGGACGGGGGATTTTGTGAAGAGTGTTAGGTTGGATGGGGTGGAGTGTGGGAAGAGTTGGATTGGACATCGGTTTTTTGCTGATGGGGGTGTGTTGGAGATTGAGGCGGGGGAGACGGAGGGGGGATGGGGGAGTAGGCAAGAGGATTTACCACCTAGTCCTGGGGCTGGGATGGGGGGGATGAGTACTCAGAGTAGGGAGATGTTAGTCTAACTTCTTAGATGTTAGACTCTAGACTTGGCGTTGTCGAGCGACTTTTGCTCGTATGTCGTGGGGTCTCTGAGTATCGGAGATCGACTTTTATGCCGAGATTGGCCAGTCATTGGATTTTAAAAATACGGAAGAATTGAGCTAATGATAAACTTTATACCCCATTCAGCAGTGATGATATACCTATGAAAAGACGCATTAAGCGAGGAAATTGGCGTTTCTGAACGCGTATTATTCATTGGGTCGTAGCAAAAGAACGTCGTGATTCCCTCTTCCTCACGACCCACCCCTCCCCACAATGTTTCTGGTAAGTAAATCTGCCTGAGAAATACAGCAAAACCTCGATACAGGGATCCTTGCTATAAGTATAACCTCGATTATATCCTTAGGAAACCTGGCCTCAAGTATACCCTTGTATCGAGGTTTCCTTGTAATCATTTCGAATAATTGATTTTGGGCCGAAAGATTAGTAGTACAATACATACTGGTCGTAGTTGGATGTGGTATGCAAAAAGGTATGGTGTGAAGAATGTAGCTTCTAACAACCATTCCTAAGATCCAAGACTCAACTTTGATTGCCCTCTGTAATGAGAGTTTGATAAGTATTCACTTCTGCGAACTTTTTTCTGTTCCTCTTTTTTGAGCCGCAATTTCAAAGAGGAGTAACCAGAGCTTTTAGGCTTTTACACCGCAAGCACTGAACTCTTCCAGTCTTTCTCACAAAGAAACAAACAACATGATGATACCATATTCCCTTCTAGCGATTCTCTCGCTTTCTCTACAAATCTTAGCTTACAGGAGCACAGTAACAGTCCTACATATACTCCAAGAAAGTCAAATGCTTATTCCTGTCTAGGAACTAAAATCATAACCACGGCATTAGAAAATAGTACTAGTAAGTTCCTCGTTTTTGTACAAGACTTTAGAAAAGTAGCGTGTCTCCAAGTAATACATCATTAAAAAAAATTGTCTGTAAAGAAAACATTATAGCAGACCCATTTCTCTGCATGGGAACAAGGACTGATTGATACTGAAAGCGACGACCATTCAAAGCGACACAACGACCGTAGTTTCTACACCCACTTTGCCCCGGACTATCTCCCCACAGGAAAGTTATATCTACTTGAACTCTGGGACGACGAGTACTTCTGTTACTGCCAGCATGACTGGTCCGGGTACAATTTCCCTTTTCCTTCCACTCATTTCTGAGAGTCCCTCTGGATCGTTCCGGAGCCTATTTTATGACACCAAAACAGTCCTGACTTTCGGGTAGTGAAGAGAAGGGATTTGGAGCTTGCGCTGGTAACGCAATATGTTGATAAAGTAAAGTGTACAAGGCTCGTGATTATCGCCATCGAACCTCAAGTATCCACGGCCAGTGTTATGGAAAACCATAACTGCCCGTCCGCCATTAGAAATTTGTAAAAAAAAGTAGTTTTAAATCGTACCGGAATAAGAAAATTAAGTATAAGATAGCGCTAATACTAAGGGGAAAAAATTTCTAGTAGTGTACTTATACTATAAGACGAGTAATCCTAGTTCCGGACAATGAAGGGAGCGATTAGTAAGCAAGAACTACCTAATCAAAGCCCTTGTTCTCCTCATAAGCCACACTTGGCTTGGTACGCCACAGCTGGCTAGGTTTGCTATTACTACTACTACTTTATTTATAGAAGAAAAGGAAGGGTTACTTAAGTGTATTAGATTATAAGCTATAGGGGGTATACTGAATTTTAGGGGGTCTATTAAACCCTAGGGGGTATATAAAGCCCTAGGGGGTAGAGAGTACTTAGGGTTAGAAGTTTAATAATTATTATAAAATTATAGGTAGATAATAGAGTAAGGGTTTATTAATATTCTACTAATCCTAACCCTAACCCGCGTACTAGAAATAGCTAGCCCTAGGTAGAGAAAATTAGCTATTCTATTAATTATATAAGTTAAGTACCTAATTATTAGTAGTCAAATGGCGGACAAGTAGTTATCGTTTTAATAAAATAATTCTAATAGCGGATAGGTAGTTATCGTTTTAGAAAAACATTCTAATGGCGGACGGGTAGTTACAGTCGCCCAGACAGTGTGGCCAGTAGTTTAGTTAGTTATAGTTAGTTAGTTGGTTTAGTTTAGTTTTCATGAATTTTTGGTTAGTTTTATATATAAAATCTAAACTATTAGTTGGTTCAGTTTTGTCTTCAAAAACTAGTTGGCTATAATCAGTTTTATAGGGCATTTTGTAGGGCATTTTGTAGGGTATATAATTTAGGTAGGGTGTCACGGGTCGAATGTCGCGATTCGGTTATTCTTCCTCGTGACCGCGGGACAAGTGGCTGCCTAAGCGAGCATGCATGTCCCACGCTTCAAGCAAACAAACAATGAAGGAAAACTCTTCAAGCAAACATGCCAACACACAACTCCCTCAGAAAACTCTTTAAGCAAACACGACGACACATCAGATCCCTCATCGTGGCGTGATAAGGGATGTGGGAGACGCGGGGATAAGGAGCTGTTGGGTGTGTGGTGTTTCTGGCATAAGAACCTCGGGTTTTCTCCTCAGATAGCTCTTCTCTCCTTAGCTTTAGATTCTAAGTAGTGGAATAGCAGTATCCTTCACCGTTCCGTTACATAGGGTTATACTAGCCTGAGCCCCTAAGGCTGGCACGGAGAAAGGGGCGACGCTAAGCCTAATAAATCAACTTTTCGGCAATTTCAGGTAATCTAATTAGCTTAACAACACCGCCTGCTATGTCAGCTAGCCCTGAACGTCTCTTCTCTAGTACTAAAATAACAATTAGTGATCCCCGGAATCGTCTAGGAATAGCTTCAATTAATACTCTTATGTATTTGAAAAGCTAGTATAGAATCCAGGAGTTAAAGGATCAGGACAACAAGGATATCGCAAAGGAGGTAGATATTCTTATACAAGACGAAATCGCTAATTTAGACTAAAATAACACTTAGTTTGGTTGGTTTAGTTTACTGTTTGTTCAGTTAGTTTTGTTGTTCGTTTAGTTTAGTTTTATAATTATAATTAAACCGTTAGTTAGTTTTACGACCTCAAAACTAACCTTAAAACTAATTGAACTAAACTAATGGCCATACTGTCCACGGCAAAAGAAACCAGCGTTCGGCAACTGGAATTCCATTCCATACTAGACCTCCTATATAGAATATACCATGCCATTTGTACGAACCTCTAGAATATACCATTCTATATAGGTGTCACGAATCACGTGTTCACGTGATACTTGTCATAATAAGAGGCGCAACCCTCGAAAGGCACATCCAGGTTTCTTATAGCAAATAGGGATCGTTTGGAGTAGCTAAGCGATCCAGGGATTTCTCTGTATTGTTATCACGTGATATTAGGAGTTCGCCAGTTAGCCGGGCGAACAGGCGAAGTTAGCCAGTTCGATTGTCGAACGAGCGAACATCGAGAGAACGAAGGTTCTATATAAGACTGGCACGTCTGCCATTAGATAGGAGCTTCGTGCTCAACTTAGTTATCAATCCTATCATATTAGTTTGACATCTTTGATACAAGTAACGAGTTCACTTCCAAGTGAACAACCCGATAGTCTTCTTCTTACCATAGCATACCAACCAGCGAACACCCAGCCAAGTTTAGTTAGCCAGTTTGAGTATTCGTTACAATAGGGTAGTTCTATAGCATGCTATAGAACAAATACACGTGACCCGGATTAAAGTTTTCCTAGCTTAAAGACTAATAGAAGTCCTCTATTTAATCGCCTCTTACAAGCCTATAACAACTCTATTAATTATAGGAGGTTGTTATAGACAAGTGATTAACTAGATCAAACGATATATACAAGCTTGCTTAGTCACCCTTGGTACGTAAAACACATCCTTTATTTAGCGCCGAGAGTTAGTGAATAGTACCTACGTGAGTATACGAATACCTCTGTAAGCTATTAGCTTAGTACGTGCTCGTCACGTGTTTTAGAAATCCATAATTCTATGGAACACCAGAGCCTATTCGATAGAAATAAGTGTGCTATTTATAAGGACCTCTAACAATATTCTATATAGAATAGAATTATAGAATCTATGGAATCGAGTACCATTTGTCGAACGCTGAAAGAAACTATCACCAGCGTTCGGCATCTGGAATTCCTTTCCATTCCAGAGGGGGTGTGTAGAATAATTCTATTCCTTTTAATAAACTAATAGAGTTATTCCATTCCAGACCCCCTTATTCTATAGAATTAACTAGAATTCCAGCTGGAATTTGTTACATAACCCGGCGAAATATACTCCCGCTCCGCCGACTAATAGGAAGTCTTTAGGGCCCTATTTATATTAAATATTTAGAGAATAAGTTATATTACATAAATGTTCTCCTAAATTGTATCGGTAGGGTACGAGTATCGTAAATACGTAGTTAATTATAATGGAACGTATTAGGTACTACTATCTTTTCCTAGCTATTTACTTAACTTTCTACTTAGGGCTATATAGCTCTTATAATCACGCGTTTTAACTAGTCTGGAATTCTATAGATTCTATATTCTATTCTAGAGCCTACTAATAGAAGGAATCTTTCCATTTCATATAAGCTCTAGAAGGATTCCAGATGGAATAGAATCTATAGAATTCTATGGAACTCGTTCCTTTTGCCGATCGCTGACTATCACTAGGAACGGACCGACTACCATCTTTACTTCGACGTCCATATCTACAATTTCCACTACAACCAGTCTCACAACCTATATTGCTACTTCCATAAATACGTGAGCTTTATGATAAATCATCATTATATTGCGCACTGGACTAACCATAACAGTCTCCAAGAAGAAGCCACTGCAACCCCGTCACCACTTCCCGTGTTTGAAGTCTGTAATAGCACAGAGACCTTCAGGAGGCCTTTTTCACCAAACGGAGCATCTGGGCCCAAGCTCGTAGGAGTTCCAGCGACCAGTCGGTATGATTGTTGCGTACAGGTAGGTGTCCCTCGAAATGAAATATTGCTAGTGGAACGAGAGAGATCTGTCTTGAAACTATAAGCTGTCTCTGAAAACAAGAAAGCTAACCCTAGAACCATCCGCAGTGTTTTCAATATGGCGGTTGTGGGACTGCGTATTTTACTGGGAGCAGTATAGATGCTCCAGAAGGTTTTAATATTTACACTCTCGTTGACAAAAGCTGACCAGTGGGCCAACCAGTCATCTCGCGCGAGGGATTTGGAGTAATACGTAACATTCCAGGAGGATTAGAGTACTTCAATGGCCCTTGCAGTCACTGGAGGACGGCTTAAGATTTGAGAATGTTCGATGTTCTAAAGATTGGAGTCACCTCATGATGGGCATAGCTCGAGAATTTAACGATCATATTACCTCAATCCCTTTTCAATGGGTTGCAATCATTTTGTGTATTGCAACCTCCGCCCTCCACCTAGTTTGGGGTAAGCTTACCTCAACAAACTACCGGTTACATTCGATGCGTGGAGTGTTCCTTAAACGGCGCTTCTGAGTTTCTTATCAAATGGTTCATGTCAGCATAGGGTATTACTAATGCTATCACTGTCTCAGCCACAAAAAAGGCGAGCAGAATTTGAAGTAAGCACAGCGGAGAAGCCAGCAAACATTTCGATAAGTTTCATAAAACAGACGCACAGAAGAGGGTCCAGCTAACATAGAGGGAGGGAAAGGTAGAAAATATCTTATCGTCTCAATTCTCATCCTTAATACACGCCGAGCTTATGTGAAATATTCAGAACCTCGTTAGGGTCATTATAGAGTAAGGCTCGGTAATCAGCCCAAGCGTCATCAAAGGACTAAGGCAATTTTGCTGCACATCGCGCTATAATACCCGATAATCATATACGTAGAAGTAAATAAGATATGATGCGCTTTTCCGTACGTTACTCTCCGCTATAATCTCCACTCATAAGAGCGAAAACGGGTTGAGACAAAATGAAACCCGGTACATTTGTCCCAACCCAGTGCAAAGCTCCTCTGTTGCAAATCGCATTTAATATCCGACAGTCTTATATACCAGAAAACTTGGGTTTTCATAAGATTCTCCACTTTGGCTCCAATTTGAAATGAAAAAGCAAAGTTTATGATGAGGATCAGCCAGGGCATGGTGATCTGTTGCACCTCGCATTTAATACCCGATTCTCATATATGAAGGACGTGGACTCTTGGAGTCGAGATAAGCGCGGGAAATATAGGTCGTTTTCCGACAACACAGGGAAAGAATGATGTAAGATTCTGTTTTGTTGCACTTCGCTCGATTTTTCAATTTAAGCAAAACTTTAATTGTGACGGACGAGTAGATTTTGTTGGAAGTCGCAATTTAATATCCGACAACCATATATTATATCTCCACATATTTGGAAACATTATTGACCGAAAGCGGCAGTAGGGAATATGATGAATTGCCAAGGAAAGAATAAAATAATGAAGAGGGTCTTATGAGAAGCTCTACTTATTGCACACTTTTGTGAACATATGAACAAAAAAAGACATTATTTAGCAAAGCGCAAGTGGAAAATTGGAATCCACATCTTTGTCCCCGCCTATATCATGAAACCCTTGAATTAATGTGGAAATTGGGGCTGTGAAGTTTCAAGTGAAGAGAAACCGTATGAGAGCTTGAGTCAATCATCGATGAAAAGGACGAAACATTATGTTTACAAAAACAAATATCTGTGGAACAGAAAGCCTCTTCGAATTCCATGAACACCAGATACACAATGCGGGGTTGGGGATGGAGGGGTAAACATTGGGAAAAGCCACAAACCGATACCGGTTAAATGCCAACCGCTCCACATTTCCATCTGACCAGCCACTGAGTTGAGTTTCAGAGTCATGATCATAGTAGTGATCAAGATGGCATGACATAATGAATAAAAAAAGGTCTTTTGAATGGATGGGATAGGACTGCCAGAATCGTTTGTATATCTTCGGCAAAACTCCCCGAATCGGCAACAATTTCGGCGAGCTTACATAAGCCACGGCTCTTTATTTCCAACTGGAGCTGTGCTGACACTTCACAATAAACATTCGGACGGAAACATGGTTCACCACAAAACTTGACACGAACCTCATCGAATGCCTTATACAGTTCCCGCGATCCAATCACAACAGAATATTGCTCGCAGATGTTTGTAGCGGGGCTGGAGCACACAATGAACTTTTACGATATGTCTGAAAATATCTGAGGAGGTGAACAAAAACAGGAATCTTGAAGAAAAATGAGGCATCCACCCAAACAGATTGGGCAGATGTTCTCTATCATTCCCGAGTGGGGTAGTGTTCCCGGTTACGCATCGCTAGGAGCCAGAAAGAACTCCTTGTTAAAATGCCACCTTACTTTCTGGTGTTGCCATGTCCACTCTCAAAAATAATCAGTTAGATCAAGCTTGACGAATATCTCTCTTTGGGCTAGTCCAGCTGAGTTTTTACTTAATTGTGGCTGTTCAAGTGAACGGGTGTAACCACCCAAGAATCATAATATCTTGACCCTCTTTAATATGTGTCGTGGAACTCGAGTGAGCTCCCACTATATTCCCATTTTGTTATTGTGTGCTACCATTTTGTTGGTGTAGATATTGCTTGACCGAAAGGGCAACTCGAAAGTCGTAAACCCAATTTGGTTTTCCTTGTTGATCTGGCTGTTCAGTGCAACTCATCTCTATCATCGGCACATACGGTATCTGTTCATGTATCGTTCGATATCATACGGTCCGAATAGGCTGGTCGATGTATCAAAATATGCATATAGCAAGCTGAATATGGGAAAACGAATCGGCTGGTTGCCGAGCGCTTGCCCAGCATGTGTCCTACCTCCAACCGTATGTAAGAAACTGCGTGATTTTCCTCGCGTGGCAACAATATCGAAATATCTATGGGCATACGGAGACGCGATGCGGGTTTGCGGAGCTGCAGTTAATTTTCGACAATCTCGTCTGTCGGGAACCATTTTGAGGTCAAGCCCATTGTGATTCCAGGCCCATTGATTGTCTGCATTGGGATCAAAAAACGACACGACACGGGGTTGGAATGGTGGATTGAAGACTACTGGGCGATAGTCTGGGTCCATCTGACATCCTTATCCTGTACAATTATATGGAAATTCCCTTCTCGTGTGGTCTAGCTTTCATGACCCACTCTCACAGCTTCCTGGGAATTTTTATCACTCAATCAGAACCAGCTCTTTTACGAATAATGGTGGAAGGTCTTTTTTCATCCGCCACAGCGTTGGGTCTCGTGGTTTATGCTGACACAATATGACTTATTGTTTGGCATACGAGCACAAGCGGAATCTTGGGGCCGCCTTCCTATCGTTATCAGAAGCTCATCAATTGATGGACATCGAGATGTGCGGCTGGTAACGATGACCCACAAATTCGTCTTGACCTATGGGGCTTCACGAGCCTTCGAGAACCCCTTGGCCCTTGTTTTATGATTTCAAGGGTGTAGATGGGGCTCTCAGATAAACTCAAGTGCGGGTTTAAGCAGTTCTCTAAGCGGAAACCTGAGAACAAACAAAAGTTTCATGATCTGATTCCTTCGAACGAAATAGGTACACGAGGTGCACAAGATAGGCGCAGAGGTTCCTTGCGCGGCCCGCTTCACGCATCTCTCGCGTCTTTCATTTATCCGGGGTCGCTTCGCTTCCAACCAGGGGGGTTTTCAAGCTAAATGCCAAAAACTCCCTCCTCGTCAGCCGAAATGGTTAGTGCCAGATCTGGAGCACAAAAAAGCCAGCTCCACCTATGAGAGCACTTGAATGTGTAGATCTTCATACGGGCCATGGAACCCCCCTGATCTGAAGCATCGAACGCCCTAAACCGCATGCGGGGTCGGCTTGGGGTACGTGGGGAAATGCTGGGGTGTAAACCAGGAATCGCCATGTCACACCGTCGAGGCTCTCTACTGAGCTCCGTTGAAAGAGGAAAAGTCGTCCCAGAACCGCGGCATCACTTTGGACTTTGGTAGACGGGTGAATGGAGAACTGGACGGTTGGTACGTACTGATATTCAAGTTATATAAGGCGATGCTGCTCCTTGACTCTTTTTTTTGATCCTCCATCGATGGTTCTCATCCACGTTCATTAAGCAACAAATTGAGTTCCTGAACAAAGTCGCCAAGATGGTTTTTTGGACTGCATCAAAAGATACTTTCGAGGTTGGCGGACGAGAGTTTCCACGGATAACATGGTACAAGGAACCTGGAATGCGCGGAGTGTACATTGCACTTATGTTTGCAGTCTTGACATCTGCGACTAATGGGTACGACGGATCTATGATGAACGGTCTGCAGACGTTAGATGAATGGCAAGAGTGTGAGCGAAAGTTCTTCAAAATTCCCTGATAAGCGAGCTAATGAGGTTTCATAGCCTTTCATGACCCTGGTTCTGCTGCTCGAGGTCTTCTTAATGCTATTATGTCTGTTGGGTCAATTGTCGCTCTTCCAATCACTCCTTATATCGCCGATGGCTTGGGCAGAAGAGCTGGTGTAATGACGGGTTGCATTATTATGATTATTGGTGTGGTTCTTCAATCGGTTGGTGTCAACCTTGATATGTTTATCGCCGCGAGATTTCTCATCGGATTCGGAGTTTCAATTGCACACGGTGCCGCGCCTCTACTCATCACAGAGCTTACTCACCCTCAACATCGAGCTATCTTCACAACTATCTATAACAGTACTTGGTATTTCGGCAGTATTGTAGCAGCTTGGCTCACATACGGGACGCAAAGTATTCCATCCGCTTGGGCATGGAGAGTTCCATCAATGGTTCAAGCAGCCCCCTCTGTCATCCAACTTGTCGCTATCTGGTAAGAACTCCCAACTTTTTGATATTAGTGTCTGCCATTGGCTAAAAAAATGTAGGATTGTTCCAGAATCACCTCGTTATTTGATTGCCAAAGGCCAGGGCGAAAAAGCTTTGAAAATTTTGGCGAAAACTCACGCAAGAGGAAACGTCGACGACGAGTTGGTCCAGATTGAATTTCAGGAAATTTCAGACACTCTCAAACTCGAGCAAGAATTCGAATCTAACGGATGGACTGAGCTCTTCAAAACCAAGGGTAACCGCCGTCGTGCACTCATCCTCATCTCGTTAGGGTTTTTCTCCCAGTGGTCTGGTAACGGTCTCGTCTCATACTACATTGGAGATGTTCTGAAGGGTGCGGGTGTCACTTCTCAGAAGCTTCAACTGGAAATCAATGGCATTCTCAATATTATCAACTTCATCGTTGCTCTCACGGCTTGTTTCTTCATCGATAAACTTGGACGTCGCCCTCTCTTCTTGTTCTCTACAGGCGGCATGCTTGTCGCTTTCTGTGCCTGGACCATCTGCGCAGCTCAGTTTGTCAGAACATCAGTCAAGGCTGCTAGTTATGCGGAGATATTCTTTATATTCTTGTATTATGTCTTCTATAACTCAGCGTGGTCGGGGCTCTTGGTTGGGTATGGTGTTGAAATATTGCCATACAAGATTCGTGCCAAGGTGTGTATTTTCTCCCTCTTTTCAAGGTATCTTTTGGCTCAGAAAAGTACTAACAAGAATTGTAGGGTATTACTCTTTTGTTCTTCGCCGTGGATCTTGCACTTTTCTTCAACTCATATGTCAACCCCGTTGCTCTCGATGCCCTCGGCTGGAAATACTACATCGTCTACGACGTCTGGCTCGCATTTGAGCTTGGTGTCGTCTACTTCTTCTTCGTTGAGACCCAAAATACCCCACTTGAGGAAATTGTCAAGTACTTTGATGGTGAAGATGCTCTCTTGGGTGGTACCCTTGCAACAGAGAGAGCGAAACAACTGCTGGTTGAGGAAGGAAATAATGAAAAACATGGTGCGATACACCTGGAGCAGCGTGAATTATCGAGTCAAGAAGGCGATACTCCTAAAAATGGGAAGGCTGCTTGAGAGGCCGTCATGCAAAAGGTTTTCTGTGGCATTTTTCGGGGGTATTCTGAAAGTCGTGGGCTCGCAAATACCTACTGGCTAGACTTTCTAGATTTTAGACATGGTACTTAGCCTGAAAGTAATTTGACAATACAAGAGAGAAAGAATGGTAATCTGAAATATATCATCTCTTCCGTGATCCTTGTCCCGTGAGATGTGTTTTTACCTATTCTCAACAAAACATTCCGTTTAGTATTATGCATAACTTCTATATAAGTTAGGAGAAACTTCTTTAGATTTCAAGAATGTCTCAATTATATAGAGTATCACGTTAAACCTAAAATTCTAATCGTGAAGCCGTTCTAAATCTCCACATACAAAGGGATGAGTCTGAATCAAGGGCTCGCCAAATACGAAAGTATCTCGTTAAAGGACAACGACCGCAGAGGAGATGAATTCGTGAAGCTCATTCTTAGCTGGTGGATCCCGAAAGGGTCAACATTTGGGGATTTCGTCACTTCTCGAAACTCAGAGCTTAGAACAAGGACAATTATTTTATGTGATTTCACAAGCTCACTCAACAAAGCGACACCAAGTTTTCGTCTAGCAATTTGATAAAACTGATTGCGTTGCACCATTCGCACAAAAGCGAAGCTGGTCTGTGCATGTAGTATTGTACCCGCGATTCTGCGATGTTTGTAGAAAGACGGCCCTAGAAATGTGGCCCCGGAAGCTGAAGGCTCATGCGAAAGAGGATACTGAGGAGTTCGGTTTGGAAATTGAATTTAATGCTCGTTGGTCAAGATCGCAATGATTGCGGAGGAGTGAATGAAATCTTGCGATGTCTTCGATTATGCAGAATATATTTTCAAGACAACCGAGATAGAATAGATCTTTTCAGAGGCCTTGAAAACTTGTTTTATCATTTCTTGACTGTATCTTGGTTCCTTTCGTATGTAAGACAGTCCGGGGTAGTTGTGGAAGCAAATTTGTGGCACAGGGTGTGTATCACGGAGACATTGTTTTCATAGGAGCTTCGTGAATCAGGGCATTTGAATACGGATGATTCTCAAGTCTTATTTCGAGATTATGCCCATAAATCTTGCCCTCATATTTGAAACACTGTCTGGTGATTGTTCCTGACGAGTTTGACTCATTTCTGCCCTCAATGAATTGATTCATTCTGCCAGTAGAACAATTCTAGACAATTCCCATCATCAGCACTTACCAAGTTTCTAATATATAACTCCTTACCCACAACAGTATGTATCAGATCCATCAAAACACTTCATTACAAACTTTCATCAGAAAATACTGCACAGAAAAGCCAACAAGATAAAAACACCCACAAACGACCATGGCGAAGCAAAGGTCCAAGAGCATCAGTCTGGTGAGAGAGGAAGATAAGGACCCGAGATTTCAACTGCAAAGATTCAGGGATTATATCGAATGGACTAAAGTCGTTAAATTCCTTCGAGGATTTGAGATTGAGAATCGGAAACTCCGACCAGACAAGAGAAAGTTGCAGAAAAGAGCGCCACCACTAATGAAAGCATATACAATTTAGCTGACAGATGAATTCCTTGGGAGTGGTTGATCTCTGCGCCAGTTGCAACCTTGTTCCATATGTTTTACCTGGAGTTTAAGCGAGCGAGAGAGCACATGAACGGAGACTCTATATTCGGGTGCTGTGGGACAAGGAAACGACCATCTACTCCTTTGGGGGAAAATGAGTCATTGCTTTTCAAGATACCTCGTTCCAAGATTAAATTGATAGATGCAGGGAATTGGCGTCGCTTACTCTATGAGAGATTCCGAAGTCCACTATTTGTCAAATCAGCCGTATTCTCTTCTTTTGCTATAACTGGACCGTTGCATCTGGGGTTTGTGATCTGCAATTTGCTATTTGTTGTTCTGGCTTGTGATAGCTGTCATACAACATGGAGTTTTCGCCTGTTAGTAAATAGGAAACAAAACAAACGCAAGCGGGGATGGATATAAAAACAGGAGATCAAGCCAAATAATCGTGCAGTCCTACTGCTTGTACTAGCACTCTTTTTCTGAGCAAATCATAGCGGGCCGAGCCCAAGCTGGGCGGGAGAAAAGAAAGTCTTACAAAATTATCTTTTGGTTCTTAGTTCACCTTCTCTTACCTTTTCTGGATCTTTGTATGTTGTCACGTGCGCACCACCGCTGCTGAAGGGAGGACCTCGGCTACATGACCCCTGCCATTTTCGCATAGCTTGAACTCCCCTTTTTGTGTACAATGGAGATCGGGGTGCAATCGCGACCATCTGCCATTGAACCACCATTTCGATGTTCGAGAATCTCTGCACTCTCCCGCTCTCTTCTGAGCTCTTCGCGCAAGCCGTCCATCCCAATGAGCCTGTTCTCGCGGTCGGCTTGTCGGGGGGTCATGTTCAATCATTCCGACTACCACCCGTCGCGGGGGATTCGAGCGAGGATGGCGACGGTGATGGCGACGTCAGTATACTATCGACTGGCACCAACACTATAGACACGGAATGGCGAACCAGAAGACATAAGGGAAGCTGTAGAACCTTGACCTACAGTGCGGACGGCGAATGTAGGGTTTTCCTGACCAAACAAAAGCTATCAAAGCTAACCATACTCCCAAGTTCTTTATTCAGCCGGCACAGATGGTCTTCTGAAAGTGGCTTCCTCTTCCACCGGAAGAGTTGTTTCCAAAATCCTCACACCATTTGACTCTGCCACCAAATCCGTCGACTCTCCTACCCTTCTGCACGCTCTCTCTCCTCAAACACTGCTTCTCGCGGCCGATTCGGGAGCGCTACATCTATTTGATTTGCGAACTCCGTCAGGCTTGGGCAACGGAAAACCAAGTCAAACTCATCGACCTCACGAAGATTATATCTCCTCATTAACCCCTCTCCCACCGACAGATGCGAGCACGAGCGGTTTCAGCAAACAATGGGTTACGACTGGAGGCACAACTTTGGCTGTTACTGATTTACGACGCGGGGTCATGGTCAAAAGTGAAGATCAGGAGGATGAATTGCTTAGTAGTGTATACGTCGGAGGACTTCCATCAAGACCCGGAAGAAGCAAGGGCCAAAAGATACTTGTGGGAAGCTCTACGGGTGTTTTGACATTGTGGGAAAGAGGAATATGGGACGATCAAGATGAAAGAATTATTGTCGATGCTGGAATCGGAGGTGGTGAAAGTCTGGATTCTCTTGTAGTGATGCCTGATGGAGTTGGAAACGGTGGAAAAAATGTGGTGGTAGGCTTAGGGGATGGTACCATCCGTATTGTTCAACTTGGTCCAAACAAGGTCATGGAAGATCCATTGAGGCATGATGAAATTGAGGCAGTGGTTGGCTTGAATTTTGATGTTGGTGGTAGACTCATTAGTGGTGGTGGATCTACTATCAAAGTATGGCAAGAGAAGATGTCGTTAGATGAGGACTCGGAGGAGGAAGACTCGGATGAACAGGTTAAGCCTACCAAGAGAGCTTTAGAGGGCAGTGATTCAGAGGATAGCGATAAAAATAGTGACTCGGCAAGTAGCGATGACGAAAAGGGAGGCCGCAAGCAACGCAAGAATCGGAGAAAGTCCAAAGCCAAGGGTGCTAACGTCGGAAACGGTATCCTCAAATTTAAAGGGATGTAGCCAAAGCGGGCACGGAATTCGACCTTTCCAGTCCTCGCATCGCAAAACTCCAAAGAATGACTTTCGATGTCATTGGACACAGAGATCGATCATTGTATCGTGTTATCTGAATCACCACAAAGACTGCCACAGCCTTGGTAGACTTTGTTGTATTGACACTGTATGTGGCTCCTGGACATATCTTGGGAGAAAATATGGTTACCAATCGAAGGATACCTACGAGTTGGTCTCAAAAGCGTAATATAACTAGAGGCAAGTGACTATTGAATCCGTCCCATGAAATCAATCGCTATGTCCGTTTTCGCTCTTTAATACTTCTTTTTTTGTTTTGACAGAAAGCTTCACCAGTGTGTTGCTATGCGATGAGAAGCAGCCTGAAAGAGCTATTCATCATGGCTTTTGGTGTATCCCTGCACCGTGTACTTTCATATCTCTGCTGGCCAGCGCCCTTTCATCAAGACATAAAACGTCTGTTGTTTGCGAGAGCATGCCTCTCGTCCCATTTTAGTTCATCAATTGTTGGACCAAACTGTCCAAGTCTTTCCAACGTTGTCTTGCTTCTATGTTGCGAGCGGGAATGAATGAGAATCCTCCGATACTTTCTGGGTCTCGGATATTTATTACTACTTTCCTTGTTTTCCCAGTGAGCGATCAAGCAATGTTCGTCTCATGTATTTTGGGGTAGAATATCGAGTCCTCCTTCCACTCGCGGGATAGAGATTTGCTGTATACTAGTGTGATATGATATCATAGTAGACGTAAAGCCACTTCGCAAAAGTAGCAAGATGTTTCGTGACCCTAGAAACTGTGGGAAAAGGCAATTCACATACAAAGTACCTTGCAAAATACCCTGCAACACACTGGTAAGATACCCTAGGATCTTGCTACTTTTGCGAAGGGGTTGACCAGCAGTTGTGTGGGGAAATGTCAAGTCTACTGTCTAGAGATAGTTCGGGAAGCCATGCCTCTCGTACAGTACTGTACATTTGTCCCAAGATTCGCCCAAATTTAGGCCGGTATGGCATGGCAATGCTGTACCTTTATGCCTGCCTACAGTGTGATTGAGGATAATCAGATCAAAACCCGGGGGTGTTTGATTGTCAAGGATTCATTGGCTTGTACCCTGGTCGGAACATTGCTTACAGTAAAGCTTGTGGCAGAAAAGAAGTTTCTGCTACAGGCCAAGCTTTTATAGACATCGAAAAGAAGTCTTGGCAGTGCCTACGTCGATGAAATTCCGTTCGTTGGTGAGACTTTGAGTGCTTTGACCTATTAGAAGTGGTCAACCTCAGCTTACGATCCCAATACCACAGTGGGATGGTCAGACCTGGAACACACGGGGTACTCTGTAGTACTGTACTGTAGACACAGTAAAGTAGTTTCTGTATATCCTTCGAGACGAGATGGCTTACAATAGCGGATAGACAAATAAAGACTCTATACCCAAACACTCATCCAGTCACCAATCGCGGGAAGGCATTCCTGGCTTGTTAGCGAATACATAGTTTAATTCTTCGAGTTTTCTTTGCGACAAACGTTATACGATTCAGTTCTTCGTCTTCGGCTTATGGAAAAACAGTAGCTTGACTGCTGTTCGAGGGTAGATAGGAAGCCACGATAGGTTAATGTCATCCTCTTCTAATAGATTAGTCAGAATCCACGGTATACCTTGGTTCGTGGCGCACAATAGTCGAATGCGGTCCGGGAAGTGCAAGTGTTACCGAGGTAGCGGAAGCAGGAGGCTGTAGGGCAATGCCACACGATCGGGGTCCTAGAATGGCAAAGGCTGGAGGAAATAAGATTATGTTCTACTTTATGTATGTAGTGTGACGCGGGAGTCATTACGTGTACTCCTGGGGTATTCGGATGGTCAGACCTAAAACAAAGGGCACTTCGTAATTCTGGAAGTCCTTCGGGATGAGGTAGCTCTGTGGAGACAATTGATTACTCTACTTACAATTTATTACCTGTAAATTAGTTAGGACTATCGCCATTATTCACGTTGTAAGTGTAAGCGCTAGGTGGCGATGGCCCTAAGCTGCCTTTCTTGTTGCGATGCGATAGTTTCTCGCAAAATATTTGGGGATACAATCTCGAGGCGAGTTATTCAAGTCATCAAGTACACTGATGCTTTTTGTTGTTCCATTTCACCCAGTGTTGCTCGCCTTTGAACGCTCCATTAGTGCCGTACTGTGCAGCATGAAAGGTTCTCAGCCGTTGAGTTTATACTGCAGATCGCAAGAAACACTCCTTTAGGTCGTTTCGATTGCCTTACTGTTCGCCCAGTAAGAACCCGCTGGCTAAGGAGGTTGAAACACCCGAAACCTCGCTTGTTCACGAACCGATCCCCCACATGCAACCCACATATCCCATCTCTAGTCTATTAGCGGCGCATCAAAATCGTCTGAAATCTCTTCGTCTCTGCGCTTCGAATGCGTCAGACTCGGGCTGTCGAAACATTCCTTCTCGTACACGCCTGGAACAACATATTTTGACTCTGACCTGAACCCCATTGCCTGTTTGAAAATTTTCAGATGATTTTGTTGCGAAGCGAACACTTGGTGGAAACACATACTTAAACCTCCAGGTGGCCCGCCCACAAATTAACCTTCTCCTCATTATCCACACCGTTCATAAGCTGGCCTTTCCACTTTTCATTCTCGCCATTTATAATTCCTTTCACGTATAACTTTTTAATATACATTCTTTTTGAACTTTTCCTTCTTACTCGGTAGCTAGCTGCCTTTTTCAACGTTGAAAATGAAGTTCCTCGTCGCTATATTCTTACTCTCTATTGCTGGGCAAACCCTTTCTTTGCCAGTCAATGGCCAACATAAACCAAACGCTGTTGTCGTGAGACAAGCCAAAAGTTCAAATCCACCAAAAGCAGCTGCTACAGGCGGTGCTACAAAGGGCAACGGAGGAGGTGGAGCAGGCACTGGAACTGGCGCTGCAGCACCAAAGGGATCGACTGCACCAAAATCCACACCCGCACCTTCTAATAATGGTGGAGAAGCCGCTGGCGGTAAAGAACCTGCCGGTAAAGAACCTGGCGCTAAAGAACCTGGTGGAGCTGGAACTGGAGCTGGAACTGGAGCTGGAACTGGAGCTGGAACTGGAGCTGGAAATGCCACAGGTGGTACCGGTGGAGCCATGCCTTCTGCTGCAGATGTCGAGCAAGCCGCCACGAACTTCGCTAAAGATGCCAACACTGTTTCTGCATGTTTTAACCAACTAGCCATCGAGACCGATCCGGTAACCATTAAGTCCCTTGCCCAGAGAGCCTTCGACGCCGAGACTGATGAGGACGCTCAACGGGCAGTTCTCTCCGCTGGTGCAGGAAGTGCAGGTACCTCCAGCAACAATAAGATCGTAACTTCTACACCAACTGTTCTGGACGGCTTGAAAAGAATTGTGAACGACCCGACCCCGGAAGTTGCCAGATCACAAGTTGGGGTTATGGCAACAGAGAGGTAAGCTTTTTTCAATGTTGACGTGCAAATTCATCCGCTAAGTCAGGTTTAGAAACTCACAAATTCTTCCATCGATCACTCAACTGTCCAATGCTGCTTTGGTCAATACAAAGTCTCAACAAAGACAGCAAGATTTTGTGCCTACAGTACAGGCATAGAGTTGTGGTTTTGAAGAGATATAGTGTATCGAAAGCGCACCATTAACGGGAATATTATGAGATGTCATGCCAGTTTTCTGTCTCCTGTTTTCATCAGTCGTTTAAAGTAATTGTCTTTTTTTAATTCTTTTTTTCGGACTATACCTTTTTCACTTGACTACTTCAATGGTGCCGGTCATATGAGGAGATTACACAGGGAAGGCCAGCATGTCTCTTCTCCCTTCTCATCCATCAACTTTAGTCAATCAAATCCTAAATTTCCTCCCTAAATCCCAATTTTCATGTTCATAGAGCAGTTGGACAACCAAAACTCTTTTCTCGCGTTACTCTACCTCCAAAGGCATTTGTAGTAAAATCCTGGCTGTTGATCATGATCTGCGGCAAACCCTTGGCTTTGAGTACATACAACAGAAGAACTCCTAAAGATGTGAACCTTTACTGTACAGATCAAAATAGATAATTGGATGAATGAGAAACTTCGTTTTGGTAATCCAAATGCTAAAGTCTCGGCTCGCCTTGATCCTACGTTACAAGTTAAAACACCCCCTCTTGCCCTGCTGGCGATCAAGGAGCTTGTATTGATCCTGGTTATGCCTAAATTTAAGCCCTAAACCTTGACGATCCAAGGAGAACTTGCGGCTGGGCTTTGCTTGCACGTCCTGCGCCCTGTTATCATAATTGATCCGGTCTAGAAATTTGTATTTGGTCGTTTTGGTTTTATTCTTATTATTCTTACCTACCGAAATGCCAAAAAAAAACATTTTACAGAATCAATTGGGGCGTCGTCGTTGTCAAAGGTTCTGGAAAAGCCATGGAAATATGCATCAGGGAGGATGAATCCTTTTTAAGAGGGACTATGTAGTGTTCTGGCAGGAAAGAAAAAATCAGGCTCTCTTATTCTAGCGACACTGAGTATTTTCAAGCTAGCGTGCTACGAAAGTGAGGCTGCTCATACAGTACCACGAACTATTGCACTAACTTCAAGCGCCCTGTAAGTCGATGCACGTGCGCTGCTCTACAGTACTTGCATGTTATACCGTACAGTAACTTTCGCAAGCCAACCTTCTCTCTTTTACACGAGTTTAAATAACTTGTGGCAAAAAAACCCCATCTTTGCGTTTAAGAAGGTTGCAAGATCATCGGTGTGTTCATTTTGATGTAGCAACCAATGGCATATGTTGCGATTGGTTCTCTGTTTGTTTCATCTTGAGGACTGTGTGTAGATAAATCATGGATCACCCCATCTTTTTTTCGTATTGACGTTATCTTATCTAAATGGGTTCAAAGCTTCACGAGATGAGTCTTTCCAAACCTTTACTAATCCTCCGAGTATCTTGGACTATTTTTAAACATGCCGCTTCTTTCAGGGATGAATCTCAATGATTTTTTGTGATGCGGTTTGTGGGGTCGCGGTTTACTTACTTGTACTGGCATGTACCATGGCTCGTCAAAATTACTTCTTGCTGACTAGAGAAACTTGATATATTTCACGCCCTAAGAGTGTTTTCTCAAGACAATCTAAACAACCATTCTCATCCTTAACTTATCGGTGTTTTCGATCTCATCCTTTTTGCTCATAAGCTCCAGCATGTCCCATTTGCAATCTATGTAACGACCCGCCAGCCAATCTCTTTTCTCTGCTGTCAAAAATACCATTGAATCGCTAGCCATCTCAACAGTATCAACCAACCCTTCATGCTATTAGCATTTGATTTCTTTACGACTCTAGTGAACAAGTACTTACATTCATGAAGAGTGGTGGGCAACCTCAGAGCAAGGTCAGTCGGAATTCCCCCAGGATTAATACAATATGCAAGGACTCCCTGTTGCGCATAATCCACCATGAAATGTTCTGTAAATCTGAGCAACGCTGCTTTCGATGTCTGATATCCGCTTGCACCTGGAATAAGAGCATGAGCACCCACGCTAGCAACATTGACAAATGTCTTATCCCCGCCTTTCAACATCAAAGGCAACAAAGCCTTGGTTTGAAAATACACCCCCCTGATGTTTACTTCAAAGGAAGTCCACCAGTCGTTGCTATCAGTATCAGCGACGGGAAGCCAATGTTCAGTAAATCCAGCGTTATTGATAAGGATATCCAGTCGACCAAATTCCTTCTTGGTTTCCGCTGCGGCGTGGGCAACATCTTCCCATTTTGTGACGTCACTTTTGAATGTCAAAACTTGTGGTGCAGACTTGCCTGCCGATTTTGCGGCTTCGAGGACTTTTTGCTTGGCTGTTTCGAGATCGGAGCGTGCACTTAAAGCGATTCCTTTGGCTCCCGCTCTGGCATAGGCTATCCCGGTTGCTAGACCAACACCTTTAGACGCCCCTGTAATAAAGATATATCGTCCGGTGTAATCGAATTTTGTGGGATCAATGGCGGAGTAAGTATCATTATGGATTGTTTCGGTAAAGTTGGCGCCTGGATAGGTTAACGAGAGTCGTAGAGGAGAAGAACATTTCACGTACCCATTTGGGGCGGGATTGGTGGATATGAAGCCATAATTTTGATAAAGCAATTGTGCCACAAGATAATAGTTTTTGATTCCTCTTTCTTTGTGATTGGGAAGGAGTTCAATATAAGTATGGCGGTCCTCGCTTATTTTCCAAGGAGTGGGATAAATGGAATTATGGATCTCGTCGGTATTACTTAGATTCCGCGGAGTATCAGGGGTTTTGATTGTGGGGATCCCAGCTTTTAAGTCCATTTGCTGCGTCTTTCTTTTTTAATCCCGAAAGCCATGGGGCACGGAACGGACTTAATTAAATGCCATCACAATTTATGGTGTGATGAACATGAATGCACATCAGCCAGAGAGTGCGCACTTTAATTGGTTGTCTCGTAGCTCGCCATTTATACAAATGGTTTTCAACGTAAAATTTTGGTACTTTACGTAGATGATTGCAGTTTTTTCCAAGTTCGCGAGAACAGGTGAAGATGCTTCATTCATCCGATCCATATGCCAAGTGAACATTATCGTGGAATTTTGAGTAGACAGGAGTCCCAGATGATTCCAGGACAGGGATAGAAGTACCAGTACTCGCTTTTTGGCTTTTAATAATCTCCTGATTACTGGAATCGTGCGTGTGAGAAACATCCCGTGTGCGTTTGATGATTGCAGATGAGTTGTTTGTTCTCATAAAGGAGATTGTATTGGGCAACACCTTACACTCGGAATTGTCCTATTGAGGATCGCATGGAGATTTGATAGAATATCAGCTTACGTAGAATATGAAGAGCTTCAGTTATAGCTCTAGAAATACCCCTGGCTTAAAAAAATCAACCCATCGGCAACTGACTAAACGCAAAACAGAATTGCTACTCCTGAGCCTTTCGTCTTTTCCACCAGTATTCTGACCAAACAACTCAGAAGTAGACTAGTGGCGTCTAGTGGTATTTATAACAAACAAGCGACAGTTCTGTCATGAAGTAGGTGCATATCTGTTAGTAAAGACATGCCATGCCGTTTAGTTACTACATATATTCCATATTAATACATCAAGGACCCAAGGTCATGATCAACAAAGAGGGCTGCTGTAACATATGAACGTCAGTTTCTTAAACTGTCAAAATAATAGGGAACAATAAGGTAGCCAGTCAACTTCCCGCCACCTCTTTTATTCACTAAGGGCATACATCTCTGTATTCTCCAGACCAATCCATCTTCCTGATTATCAAGGGCTTCCTTGGCGTTCCTTTTTTCCCAATCTGGCTTTGCGTTCCAATTCACTTCTCAGCCAACTATTACTATAACTACAAGCAAAATTGATTTGTCTAATACAAGCGAAATTTTCATCCCAGAGACTTGATTAGTTGTATTTCTGTCAAGTTTTGTCAATTATTAAGATTCTTCTAGGTACGCAACTTCAGTTCATCAACCACCATTAAATTATCTAGACTATTACATCGTCATGTTGGGCCTGAACTACATGTGTGTTTACCTACGAAACGCCCAAACCGTATATCAAAACCTCAGCAAGCAAGGCTATCAAACGAACTCAGCATTTATACACGGAGAACCTGGAGTACAGGCCTGGTAAAGACTCAACCACGCATCCCCACCACAGTACTGCGATGCATCTCCTGAGCATTTGTAGTTGCAGTTCGCAAGACTTGTCAATGTTGTTTCCGGCTGACGAGTCGAGAGATATGAGTTGGCACACCAGCACTCTCTATTCCATTCAGATCCTGCGTATTTGAAGCCACTTGAGCTACAGAAATCCATGCACTTTTCATTCGTCATTATATCTTCTGCGTAAAGAAGATCTGGGAGTGTTCGTCCGCCTGCATCAGTTACTCTCCTCTCTTCTGGTGCACACCCTACAAATGCAAACCCCTTGGATGTCATGTCGGTATACAGTAGTGGCGTCCCTGTGGCGGTTGAAGTAGCGGAAGTAGCAGCAGTTGAAGATGGAATTGAAATCGTAGGCGAGGACGATGTTGTCGATGGAATTGTAGATGTAATCAAGGTTGTACTAGTGCTATCTCCATCACTTGGAATAACAACGAGTGTGACTTTGATGCACCTTCTGTTGGGATCCTCCACTAAAGTGGAAAGACTGTCAGTAAATTCCAATAAAAGATAACAATATCACGTAAGCGACAGGGAAATACGAACATGAATTTCTCGGAGGATAATAACGAAACTCATGGGCCTCCTGGAATGTTGGTCTTACGCAAATCCAGCCTCCAGCAGGATGGTTTTGCCATGTCACGAACCTCAATTCGATTTGTAGTTTATCGGTGTCTGGGTTGCACGCGTATGTGGGAGCAAAGATTGCTCTAGGATCTCCGCGCTCAGTAGTAAACATTTTGGTTGTTTGGTCAATTTCAGAGAACTATGAGATAAATTCCCAAGTTAGCCATCTCCATATCGAATTTCATAGTGAAGGAGAATGAAGACCGTTCTTACCTCCCCGCCAATTACGGCATGAATGATCCCTTTTTCAATCGAGCCTGAAGTGAGGATCAGGTCAGATGTAGGATTGCCGACTGGTCCTACGAACAAGTGGTTGTCACCTCCTCCAGCTGGTAGGAGGTTCATGAATAGATTGTGAATTTCCGGTTCTGATGCATTTTGTACCTGGATTCTAAAGAATGAGGGAATGGTATCAGAGAGTGGAGTCGTAGGTATCTCGCATGGTGTCGAGAACGTGGCCCAGGATAGCGCAAGGGAAGCGTAGATCAATATTGGTTGCATCTTTGCAATTCAGAGTTCTCAGAAGTACCACCGAATCAGATTAACAAGAAGAAGAAAACGAACAGCAGTAATATCCTCATTATATTCTTGCTCCGTATGTATGTTGGTCACTTCTTCGCGTATTTGTTGGTCTTGGTGCTTACTTGCCTCATTTGGTTCCTGCAGTGCCAGGCACGCATTTCTGCATATTCAATAAATCTCAACACGAAAACCAAAGCATAGAAGGAAGAAAATACGAGACGCGGTGGTCTCTGGGTGTGTCCACCATGAATGTGGTAAACAATTTGAAGGGCACAATAGGGAGGAGGAGCTGAAAACGAACAGGCTTACCCTATGGGAACCATTGCGATTACAACCCGAACAGGGTTCTTGATGCACTGCAAAATTCGGTACCACCAGAATCAAGTAGCTTGGCAATATATGCCGAATAGATTGTGGAGGTTGTTGGTGATGTTGGGGTCACGAAGGCCAATTAACTGCGAGCATTTATATGGTAAGCTGACACTGCATTGGTGGGGTAAATGCCAACAAGCAATTACAACTGCAGTCTTGCTTTGTCTATTTAGGTATCTCTGACACTAGAATTTCACCTGTCGATGAGCTGGAGAGCCATTTTTTTGACGGAGGTTTCTCCTACCCGAGCCGTCGAGCACCCCTTCCTGGGTCCTAGTGCTACTACAAGCTACAATATCAGACAGAGAGGGGCTGAAATTTGCAACTATTAAATAATTTTCGACAAATACATTACTACATATTTCTACGTCACTTGGATTTGTACTCGAGTAGACGCATACGTAACTCTAATAAGGTGAGAGGGTTCGTTCCTAGAAGGATACGTACTTTGAGTATAGGCCCTTGATTTACACGTTCAGACAAGTAGTATACTAGCACAACATAGGAATTCTCGCCTAAGAAAGCCCTAGACCAATTGTTCTACTGTGAGTTTTCAGTAATTCATAGATCTATAGACTGAAGGGATAGAATGGCACAACATGAATTTCTGTTTATCTCTTATTACAAATAGCTCGCAAAGCATTGTTCAGCTCCAGCAAGAATTACTCATGCATTCCAGCGCAAATATTGTTTTTGCTACATCCATAGCTATGCCAAAAGTTCAAAGATACCTGTCCAGTGGTATTATTAAAGCCGTGGTGTCCAATCTGGCTGGTTTTCTTACTCCCTTTTTTTGGGCAATTTTGAAGATTTCCCTTTCCCCTTGGGGCAGACCTCACCAAAAATGCCCAAATTCTCAAATTTGGAACCCTAATAGCTTGGACTCGATATTATCAAACGTCCCCTGCTCTCGCTTCTATGTACATCACACTTGGGAGGCTCCTGTACATTTGTCATGTTCCCATCTCTAACATAATTTATCAGCTCCGTATGATCCAAAATGATGCTTTCCTTCCAACCATCAAAGGTATATCGTTTCACGTCCTCGCCGACGCATTCCACCTTTCCATTAATTATTTCTGCCTTCCGCGCAATATCCTTATTAATCTGCTCACCGAGCACCCATTCCATTGTGTTTGAACGTCCATGCATGGTATGCTGCCTTTTTTCATCTCCAATTTGTGCTTCTGGCACCACACCACTGCGCACCTCCGCTCTTGGTGGGGCAGGTGGGATGAACATTGCTTACCTCAGCTCCTGTATTGGCTTTGCTTTTTTTGTGAGAACATTTTTCGTCGGCTTCTTTTGGCGTTTCATTGAAGTGTCACCAGATGTAGAAGATCCATCAAAATTTCTTTTGTCGGATTTAGGGTATTCATCATGGTGAATCTCGCGTAGTGGGCAGTTTGTTTGTTCGCTTGAGCAGGGGTGCGGTTTTCGTAGAGCATAGAGAGTTGGGGTATTGGCGATAAATGCTGCCACAAAGATTTCTACGCTTGTCAAAGTCGTTAGATGTTCTTGAAAGGTGAGGTCTTTGAAGTTGAATGGAAGACGGATTACTGTAATGGCAACAAGGAAGATGCCCAGAGTGAAGAGGAATAAAATGCGGAATTTCCTGGAAGAAGTTAGAGAACGACATACAACTCAGGTTGAAACGACTTACGCGTATCCCGATCGCTTGAGTTTTAGTAGCGTTGGTAGAGGAAGAATTATGAGCATGATATCCGTGAATATGTTTAATATTCCCAGTACCAGCGATTCAACCATTGCCTGCGAGCAAGAGCCTTCGCCTTTGGCAAGTCATTGAGATGTTACCGGTCGGAGTATAGACTTACCAGGATCAGGAAATATTTGCCAGTAAAGACGCAGTGGACGACAGTTCGTAAAGTTTCCCCTTCAATAACAATATAAGTTGCTCCGAGGGTTACCCAACACACGTTAACCATTCTTCCCGTCCGCCTTTCAACAGACAGTATCCGCTGACAAAAAAGCAGTAGCACACACTTTTGTATTCAAAGACTGTTTTAATGAGCGTTGTATATCTTGGGACTAAAGATATGATGACCCACCAAGTGTTGTGAAAAGCCGATTGAATATCTTCAACTTGCTTCCCATTTCCCTTCGCTAGAACTTGAGAACTTCGTCAATTCGCGGGCTTCCGGTGGTATAGTATTTGTACCCCATATGATAACCACATTAATAAGTCCGCCTCGGATCAGGAGACAAACCATACATAATATCGTTAACTTGTCGCTGAGGTTCAACTTTTGCTTCCGAATTCTCCTCATGAGTAATCGCAGGGCCATGTGAGAACCCATACCAAGACGAGTGTACGGATCTGCTCTCTCGATGGCGCCATTTTGACGGAGCACAGAAGGAAAACAGAAGGATGAAGGAAAGAAAGAATGAAGGAAGAAGAGAATTTACTTCCAAAAGAGCAACTACAAATTATTACATGTCCAATTTATAGATGGAAAGTTATAGTGAAGAAAAATCTTAAGGAAGATTTATCATCTGAGTTTTGATGCTTCACCAGTTTTTGACGGGTTGGGAGACTGGCTGGTACCCCAGAAGATACATGAGGTAAAAATACCACCTACGAGGTTCATAATACAGATTTTGGGGGAATTTTGAAGACATTAATAACTTCAGATACATGTATTTGTCACCCCAACAAGACATGATACTATTGAGCTAATGCTCTCAAAGTCTTTTAGTGTTTGTTACATTATTGAAACTTCAACATTCTCTTTTGTAAACACTTCCTGTGTGCGATCGTATGCGAAATAAATTCTTGAAATCATACACTACTAACAATTGTGGATGATACCTTTATGAACTTTTGATCTAGCAGCCAAAAAACTATTCATGAATGAATGGATGTTTCAAGCGGGATGAACGGACATTATTGAAGCCTCCTCATTTCGGTTAGGCTAGATGTAACGTACGTCAGTGCACAAACCACTGCGGTAGCTTTTATGCTCGGATAAGATTTCCATAATATCACAAGTTGTGTGACCATTTTTGAGAACGTAGGTGAAGACTGGAAGAACCTCAAATATTTTGTATGAGGTTGGATTCTCACACTTTTGGTGGTTTAGTGTGAAGATTTCTTCACATGTCACTGACGTCAGGACGGATGACACGGAACTTTGTCGCCAATCATAGTTCTAGGTACATGTACTCGGGTACTATATATATAAGCACTAGGTTCCCAACAACAGGGGCTTGACTTGCTGGTACCCATAATTTAATTTGAAATTTACGGCTACAAAATGACGACTGTCTGGCATTCATGATAATACATCAATTCAACAGATTCATGCCTTTCTATCTATCACCTCAGTTCCTGTCTCAAATATGTTTGCAGTCTCCATCACTTTGTTTGTTATAGTTGTTTTCACAGTCCTGGGACAAGCGTTTCCTTTGAAAATTAATGCACAAAACTTCACTAGGGAAGCATTTGCGTCAAGGGAGTACATCTACATTGGTGGTGGCTATGTTCAAACAGATAGTGGCCACCTTTACTCAGACCAGATGTATGTTGAGAAACTCTTGCCGCCCAAGCTGTGTCAACCATATCCCCTGATTTTCATTCACGGACAAGGACAATCAGGTACCGTAAGTAGTACTATTGGTCCATTTGATACAATTCAGTATTAACGACTCTGTGAAGAATTGGTTGAACAAACCAGATGGTGGATCTGGATGGGCATCTTATTTCCTGAATCAAGGTTATATAGTTTATATTGTCGATCAGACTGAGCGAGCTCGAAGTCCTTGGAACCCCACTGGAAATACCACACTCACGACGTATACCGCTGAATACATTGAAATGCGTATGACTGCTTCACAGGACTTTAATATCTGGCCACAAGCCATCTTGCATACTCAATGGAATGGCGTGAGTTGCCCCCACATCTCAATACAATTACTCTAATCAAACCTACAGACCGGTCGGATGGGTGACAGATTATTCGATGCATTTTATTCATCAAACGTTCAATTTCAATCAAATACCGTGATTCAACAGCAGAATATGCAAGCCGCAGGCTCAGCTCTTCTTCATAAGACTGGACCAGCCATCTTAGCCGCACATTCTCAAGGCGGTCTTATGCCATGGGTCATCGCGGATTCCGTACCAGATCTCGTAAAAGGGATTATCGGGCTCGAACCTTCCGGACCTCCCTTCAGAGATGCAGTCTTTAGTTCAACTCCCGCAAGAGCTTGGGGATTGACAGACATTCCTCTGGCTTACTATCCCACCAATACCAATTCTACAACACCTTTACAAACCCAATCTGTCCCCAATAATTCGACAGGCCTTGATAATTGCATTGTTCAAGCTGATCCCGCCCGAGAACTTGTCAATCTCAAGGAAATTCCAGTTGTAGTTATGACTAGCGAGTCAGGTTACCATGATGTCTATGATGGGTGCACAGTCTCGTTCTTGCAGCAAGCTGGAGTTCATGCTGAGTGGTTGAGGCTCGGTGAAGTCGGGATTCACGGCAACGGACATTTGTTTTTTCTTGAGAAGAACTCGGATGAGATTGCCGGAGTTTTGGATGAGTGGATTCGCAAACATGTCACTTGATAGTTTCTTTGGAAGTTTGGAAAAGCTGGGAGGTCACTAAGATTTACGGATAGGGCGACCCACAGTTCATGTTAGCGGGGAGAAGGGCGTTGTTATGAGTCCAAAAGCACATCTCTATTCTTATATCCTTAAGTCTGCTTATTACCCCTCTCAATATCGAATAGCCACACATTTTCAATATAATCCGCACTAATCCTCGGCTTGCCACTTCCTCAGCATTTAACCACCAATCAAAGACTTCTTCTGGACTTTCTTCGCTTCTTCCCAGTCATCTTTATGGACTCACCCTTCTCTAATGGTCGCTGACATATACTCCGTTAGAGCGATAAACCTTTGCCTCTTACATCAAAGTCCTCTCCTTCGCCTGCAGTACCTGTATCAATTCAGGACGGCCTCTCTGTTTTCAAAATCTGGAGTCTCAGCTGCTTACGCAAATGCAGGCTTGATACTGATAAAATGTCAATTGAAGATGAAAGCCACGACCTTAGGATTCTCTTCCGAGACAAATATGTTTTTCCCTGAAGTGAGTATAACGAAGTTTTGAAGCACAGTGGTCTTCTGTAAAGCCCCGACAACCCCAGCATTAATATTCAAAAGCCGATGGTGCTCTTCAATAGTACCTCGGTATGGGAATTGGTTCTTTGAAGCTGATTTGGTACTGGGAATCCGTGAGAAACTTTGGTCGAGCAACCCGATACAACATTCAACCAAATTGGGCCATAAGGTCATAATGTCAGCCTTTCCAATCGAAAGTTGAAGGTGAGAGCTTACAAGGGCCATTGTTCGGCTGTTCCGTTTGGTAATGTCGAAATTGCCCTGCAATACAATTCCAATAGTCCTGCATACGATTTGGCACAATGCACGAATTGTCGCCGAGGGGGCTTTTCCATATACGAATCAGTGGGAGCATCCGCAAAATAAATGCTCCCATAAGTCGATAAAGGCACAGTTAACATAGACTTGATCATATTTGAAATAGATCTGATGCAACGCACATGTTGTACGTAAGTCATGTCAATAAGCCTTTCATGAAGTGCAGGGCAGTATAGCCGTAATAACCGTGCCTTATGTTATAGCCCATCTTAATGTAGCCGATTACTGCTGGTATAGATATTGGGATCTCGTCCATTGAGTACCGTTTAATTCACGATATCTTTAAATACTTCTTGTGATCTTCTATTGATTTGTGAGACCTGAAAGGAAGGTCTGGTGATACTTGTGTGTAGTGGACGGATTGTGGACGGAACTTCAACGAATGATGCTCGTCTAATCTTGTTGACATCAAAGGAGGGGTTCCGGCGAATAAAGCGCTGTAGCATCCAACTGAGCCAAGTAGGAGATTACATAAAATAAATTCAGAGGGGAAGTTGGGACGGTGTTTTCTCGCCTGCCAGATTTGGTCCCAGAGGCGGTCGCGCAATTTCGCGCATCACAGGCATGCAACGATTAGTCCCCACTCAGGTCGTCACAGCCCAATCATTAGCCCACGATTAGATCTACTCAATCTTCATTCAGTACCTTTGCGTATTGAGCATAGTTGCATTTGATAATATGCAGATCTATGGTGGTATTGAGAGATCTTCAACGGGATGAATTCTTGAAGGATGATATCGTCCATCACAGATAAATAACTCAGTATGTCCTCAACTCGAGAAGGTTCGCTATCCGCACTCTCACCCCAAGATGAAGATGTTTTCCGCTATCACTTTAGTAAAGGTCCTTCCTGCCCTGGCTTCTTATGTATCAGCTGCTGCTAGCTATCCACCTATACCGGCGGACTTGACGACACCGTTCCAGATGAGAATTGCGATAAATGGACCAAATGGTAAGTAATCGTCCTAGAAATTACCTCAGTAAGAAAGTACTGACTTTATCAGCCATTTCTGTGGGGTGGAACACCTACGAAAAGCTCGCTTCACCTTGTGTTCAACATGGTCTATCTAGTGATGCACTTACTCTCGAGGAGTGCTCCACTACTTCTGTCACGTACTCAACATCCAGAACTTGGTTCAACTCAGTGATACTACCCAATCTGACACCAGCAATCACGTACTATTACAAAATCGTATCCACAAACTCGACGATTGAGCAATTCATGAGCCCTCGTGTGGCAGGTGACAAGACACAATTTGCACTCAATGCTATCGTCGATCTCGGCGTATATGGTGCGGACGGCTTCACAACCTCTGGCGACGCGAGCAAGCGAGAGACCATACCGCATGTGATGCCTTCACTCAACCACACCACTATCGGTCGACTAGCGACCACCATCAATGACTACGAACTCATCATTCATCCAGGAGATCTGGCTTACGCTGACGACTGGTACCTCGCACCCAAGAACTGGTTTGACGGTACTGATGCGTACGAAGCCATCTTGGAAAACTTTTATGAGCAGCTCGCACCCATCTCCGGACGGAAACCATATATGGTTTCCCCTGGAAATCATGAGGCAGACTGTGAGGAAGTCGTTCTGATAGCTCAGCTTTGTCCCGCAGGACAGAGAAACTTTACCGACTTTACGAATCGCTTCGGCCAAACCATGCCGACTACTTTCGACTCCACATCATCCAACAATACCGTCAAGGTACTCGCCAATACCGCCAAGATACTCGCTAACCCGCCTTTCTGGTTTTCGTTTGAGTACGGAATGGTTCACGTCGTTATGTTTAACACTGAGACAGATTTCCCCAACTCACCCGACGGACCAGGAACGACGCTCAACAGTGGGAACTTCGGTGCTTTGGGCCAACAACTAGCATTTCTCCAGGCAGATCTCGCATCGGTCGATCGTACCATCACTCCCTGGCTCGTGGTCGCCGGTCATCGTCCCTGGTACTCCACTGGGAGCTCCGGTTCGCGATGCACCGAATGCCAGACCGCATTCGAAGCAATCTTCTATCAATACGGTGTCGATCTCGAGATCTTCGGGCATATCCATAACTCGCAGCGTTTTTTGCCGCAGTTTAATGGCGTGGCTGATCCCAATGGCATGAATGATCCGAAAGCCCCTATGTCTATCATCTCGGGAGGAACTGGAAATATTGAAGGCCTGAGCAGTGTTGGCACTGTTACTGCAAATAACGCTTTCGCATATGCTGATGACTTCTCTTATGCCACTGTTAAATTTCTGAATACTACTAATCTACAGATCGAGTTTATCAATTCTGCTACGGGCGCGGTGCTGGACTCGTCGGTATTATACAAGTCACACACGCAGCAATTTGTGGATCAGTCTTAGTTTTATTGCAATTGTGTGCGAGCACGCTTGAAAATTGCATGTCTTCCTGTCACTATCATAGCAAAAACATTATTGTTTATCTCAAAATCCGTCCAGATCACCGTTCTTTCTCCCTTTCACGATGCATTGTCTACTCCTCACCATCTATATACTTCAACAACATGCAACCTGTCACATACGACCATAGACTGAGGAGAATTGGGCATCCCGTCCGCTCTGCCATACACAAGCCTCAGATCGGCAGATTAGTAGTTGGGTGGGTGACCACCAGCGAATACCTGCTGATGTATGTTTTTGATTTTTTGACTCTTTTTTGCTGTCACCACAAAAGTGCCAGAAGACGATGAAGACATGGAGATGTTTCTGCGCATTTGTTGCGTGGTGAATATATTGTCAATAGTTTGTCTACCGAGGGTGGAGAAAGGGGGATGGCTAGGTTAAGCTTAATTTGTTTAAGCTTTACTAATACTGTAACCTTAATTAACTTCCCGGATCCGCTCACTTTTTTTATTCTTACTTAATAGAACGAGGGAATTGCTATGTCTACTGTTTACACTAAGTCGTTGTATTTTTAAAATTCAAAATCCAAGCTAAGATCCAAGGTCTCGTAACCATTATCTTTTACTTCTTTAACGCGCTGTCTAAATTAAGTATTCGACCACGGAGGCATTTAGTTTTCCAAGGGCGGCGAAGGCCCTCGTCTTGCCAATGTAAATATCGAGCGTTCTTATCGCTTTTTGTCGTTTAATAACATTGTAATTACGCTGGAGCGCCTTTGTTAAGCATGAGTTTATATACAAAGATCCATAATACATGAAAAGAACGCGCAGTTCCTTGTCGTAGGTAATTTGGATAATGTAAACGAGGTCCTTAATTGTCTTCTCCTACAAACTTGCTGGGCGTAAGTTCTAACGCTGCTGCTACGCCTTGTATTTTGGTTCTATAACCTTTTCAAGCAGATAGGTAATGGTTTCTATATTTGAGCTTTTTTGGTCTATATCGTGATCTCGGACTTTCGAAAATTCCATCGTGGAGGTGAGTAAAAGTGGAGACATATGGCTTAGTCTAGATTTTTAGCACCTTACCTATAATCTATATTAATTATTTAATAAGCCCGCTTATATAAGAGCTCCTTTTTCATATAGTAAATAGTAAACAAATTAAGTTTTATTTAGCGAGAGTAGAAAAGGGGGAATTAGGTTTCTTCGTTTTAATCGTTTTAAACGAAAGATAGCCGAGATAACGGAGTAACTTGAATTTTACTACGGCTAGATTCTCTTAGCTATTGTTCTTTAGGTACTAGCTTATTTTTAAGTTGTCCCTTAGTCTCTTTATGACCCTTATTATCTAAAACCTTAACGTAGAAATAAGTATTCCCTTAACGTCGAATATATATATTTAGAGGTAGATATTCTATAATATTGGTAATAAATCCATGTGAACTTAACTTTTATTACGCCTTGGACGAATTATTTTCCCTATTTCTTCTGTTTTTGAAACATACGCGAACAGGGGTCTATCACCAGGTAAGCTGCGTTGGCTTGCGCTGGCTAGACAAATCACTTGCAGACGTAGTAAGGAGAATAAAGATACAGTAAATAGATATTCACCTCTATCTGCTTAATACTAGATCAATTACAAGCTTCATTCTCCGTTCTGTTCTACAAAGGCATCGACAAGGCCAGCAATATACGTTGCGGTGATGTCTCGAGCCAATGAGATAGCACCGTCATCGTGAGCTTGAGGCAGATGCACGAAAATCACTCTGCCACTTTTCTCTTGGATCCCCTCGCTTACAAGCGGCTCTGCCAATGATGAATACATGCGGAACTCGCAGAAGTAGAGGCCTGCATCCTCCGAGACAACAGCAGGGGTGTCCTGTGGTTGTAATTAGCCAGATCTAGAAACTGATATGTGTCTTGGACTCACCGGAAATGCTTGATGAACTTTAACCCACGCAGCCTTGACATCAAATATGGTGGCGATGGATTCCGGAAGCCCGAGTTTCTCCAGCCCCTCGGAGTCAATATATTTCCCGTCATCCCCTGGAAGCTTGTAACCATCTCTCCGTGCCAGCTTCTCGAAGCGAAATTGGTCAGTTCTCCAGCCGAGCGCAACCATGCCTAAGTGGAGGATCATATCGATATCGACCGTGGTATCATTCTCTCCTGATTGAGGCTCTGGCAGAAAGAGAGATCGCTGACCACCCCAGATTTCCTTCGAAACGCGTCTGACGTCCTCGTATGTGCCGTGGGTGATACGAGCATATTTCATGATTCTAATGTCTTTCTTTCCCAGTCGTTTCATCGAATTTGGCAACGCATCTCGCACCAACCAGGAAGTATTATAATCAAACTCCATAAAGGGCTATCTCATACAGTTTAGTACTCAAGGTTAACGTATAACAGGATTAAACTTACAGCATTTCCCGTGACAGCCACGTTGAATGTGTTTTGCGCCATTGTAAATAAAATGAATGGTTCTTCGTTTTTGGCAAAAGTTTGTCTTTACAAATAGCTTTTGGTATCAATGACGAAGAATAAATTGCCACATCACTACTTTTACCATGTACTCCCAACAGCGTCTTCAGATGCTTGTGGAGTCTAATTACCTATGTGATTCACTAATCCCGCTTCTTAGGTGATTCCCATCTATGTGTGATAAGGATCCTTTATTTCATTGGCCGTTAAACCAATCCGCCACCAACACCCAAACATTTCTCTACACCTATAAAGTACAGAATGCCCCCAAAGTTTTACCTTGGACTGAAAAGTTCACATTTGTTGTTCTGACGTAACCTTGGCAATAGGTTATGTTACAGGATATTTCCTATTCACTCACTACTAGCGCGGCACTAGTACTAGCGTCAACCCTGGGTATTTAATGCCCACCTATACATTAATTTTACAATCAAAGAACTTCTCCCCTTTCAACAGGTTTGCCTTGGACTGAAAAGTTCACATTTGTTGTCCTGACCTAACCTTGTCAATAGATTACAAGCTACCACTACTCCGTCCGCCGTTTGTTACGAACCTTACAGTTATTGACTTCACTCTCCACCCGCCGCTCACTTCATATTCATACAATGGATATCCCCCTGCTTCCGCTTAGAGATGGCAACAAGGTTCCCCTTGTGAGTGATATGGTAGCTCCCGCTCCAGTCCATTCCACAACTAACGTGATATTGCAGCTCGCCTTTGGCACTGGGACAGCCTGGTTCAAAGATGTTGGTGACACTGATTTCAACTGTGATCTTGTGGAAATCATCAAAGCTGCTGTAGGGAAGGGCTATTATCACCTTGACTGCGCAGAGATGTATGGCACGGAAGAAGAAGTTGGCGCTGCCATCAAGGAATGTGGTCTTTCTCGAGACCAACTCTTCATCACCAATAAAGTCGCCCAAAGCATTGCAGACATTCCGGCTGCGATTGATGAAAGCCTCCGAAAGATGCAGATGGATTATTTCGACTTGTGAGAAAGATTCATTTTCGAGAAGAGGCGAAAGATGGGCCGAAGTGTTTGCTAACATGAAATACAGGTATCTGATTCATATTCCTTTCTTCGCGAAGTCTGATGCCGACTTTCAAAATGCCTGGAAATCGATGGAAGAGATCAAAAAGGCCGGGAAAGCAAGGTCAATCGGCGTGAGTAATTACCAGCGCCCCCATCTTGAGGCGACGCTCAAGACTGCCATTGACCCGCCTGTCATCAATAAAATCGAATACCACCCATATCTCCAGCGGTCAAATGGATAAATTCCATGGATGCGAGAAAATGGCATCCAAGTTGGGTCCTTCAAGGGCCTCACGCTGGCATTCCGGGCCCCCGATGGACCGTTGAAGGAACCCCTAGCTCGTCTCGCAAAGGCGCACAAGGCCACGGAAGCAGTTATTCTGATCGCCTGGTTGCTTCAGGACAAAGTTGTTGCCGTTACCACCACCTAAAAACCAGAGAGGTTGGAAGAGTATGCAAATGCTTTGTTGACTAGCTTAACTCCAGGGGAGCTCAAGGAAATTTCGGATGTTGGAAATACGTACCATTTCCGCATGGCTTGGGGCGAGCATTACGAGGATGACGATCGCTCATAATAGGTATGAGGTGAGAGGAGTTTGGATTCGGAGGACGTGGTAGTCAGCGATCTGACACGTTTTAGCATTACGCAGTTTTTTATTATTCTCTATTCATGTTGTTTTGCACCCAGTGATCATCTTATTTCTTCAACAATCCTACGCCTCGTAGCTCTTCCCACTGCTGTTTCTCTTTTCGGATTTTCAACCCCGACTTTACATTTTTCCCGATTTTCCCCCCTCGCTAACAATATCTCTACTTTTAACGCTTAAATCACATTTGTTGCTATCTTCATCTTTGTCTTCGCCTCTACCTAGAGTCCTAGAGCTTGGGTTCTCATCGGTGAGATCTTCCCGCTCCTAATCAGAGCTCGTAGTCCGTTAATGGTATAATGAGCTCATGACGATTTCCAGCAAACACATCAAAACTGTCAACAATCAACAACAACTATCTCCTTATCCATACACCCCGTAGCATCCTACAAAGCACATCTTATAACTCGAACTTTCCCCAATCCAAGGATAGCTAACCAACCAGCAAACATCTTCCAACCCCCCTTCCCCCACCATTAACAAGCTAACAAGCGAAATCATTTCCGGGACTCCGTCTACCACTTCTAACAGAAGCGCATAAATCAGACCATGTTCTTCCATTCACAAGGACATTCCTAAGTCCTAAAGCAAGGATTTTATTATCGATAACCGATATTTCTACGTCTACCGGTAGTGTTATAGATATTTAACGTATCTGAGAGGGTGTTTAGGGTTAGAGGGAGCTCACTTGTTTAAGCTTTTATTTGTTGGGTTGTTTTAAGTGGTAGATAGGGAATAAATTAGGTTTCGGTTAGCGAGTAGAAAGGGGGGATTAAGTTTTTTGTTTTGTTTTAGATGAGGGATAGCCGAGGTACTATGATCGAGAAATCTGAATTTTATTAAGGCCGGAATCTCGTAATTATAATTACCTAGGCAGTAGTATGTTTCTAGATCGACCCTTTATTTCTATATAACCCTTTTTATCTAAGACCTCTACGTGGAAACAACTCTAACATTCTACTAAATTACAAACCATATCTTTTTTACAGAAATACCTAACCTGTCTATGAACCATCCCTTCTAATCTCATTTCTAAGCTATGCCTTTCTACCACTTTACGTCACCATGTATACCTCCAGGGTAGTTACATTGCATGTCCCACCCCTTAATCACCTGACCAAACAAACCACGCAGCCTCAAAGCAGCCACCTCCTCCTTCCCATCGCTTCCGCAACCTCAACCCCAACAAACCCAGCCCAAGCCAAACCACACTCGCCCCCTCTCCCCGTAACGTCACACAAAAGCAACAAGGCCGCGCGTCAATCACCATTACAAGCGCGCACCTTCCATTCCTTCCATTCCATCCCTCCATCCACCCCTTCCCTTCTACCCTCACCCACACCCACACCCTCACTCAAATAGGTCAAAGAATCCCCTCCCTCTCAGCATACAACCCCAAAAAAGGGGTTTTCAAAAGCGCTGTGGACGAAGGATTAGGACTTAGTCAGATTAGGTGAGGAGGTATCTACCTAGGTAAGGATGTTTCAAGGGGGCTGATTGGATGGATGGGTCGTATATCCATCCACTCATCTTTTCTGGTTCCTTGTCTTGGATGGATGGATGGATGGATGGATGGATGGTGGATAGATGGTGGGATGGTGTGTGTGCTTCCATGATGCTGTAAGGCTGGAGAATAGTCTAGAAGGGTTCCAGGTTGGTACTCGTACCTACCGTAGAAGGACCACTGGATGAGATGAGATGTATGAGATGGTGGGGACGGGAGGGGGTGTAGTGCAGGTGCCGAGAAAGAAAGAAACGTGGGAATCAGGGAAGGGGCGTTCGGTGTGTAGGTGTTTATGTGTGTGTACAGTAGGTGTAAGCACAAGAAACCACCAAACCAATCACTCACCATGCAGAAACCGCAGGCTGCAGGTAAGTCGAGGCCGGCGGACGACCCAGAAACCTCAACACCAACACCCTCTGAAGGAAACAATGGGTTGGGTTGAGGCAGGTACGTAATACAGACAACAACACTCGTACCCAAGACACACCAAGGTCCTCGTTCTTGGTGGTGTATGTAAGCATTGGATGCATCCCGGAGCAAGACATAGAAGCTCAAGGCAGGTACAGTACCCCATCCAATCCCAAATCAAGAACACAGGTAGACAGGCAGGAATACGCAGCTCAAGGCAGGTACCGTACCGTACACCACCCAACGAAAGAGAACCTCGGAATGAAAAATAGAAGAAAAAATGCGGGTGCCGACGACTCAGCCTTGCAGTACCACGATAGGTGGAACCCTACTGTACGAGTAGTGAAAAAAAAAAACTGGAATCCGGTACTGGGATATGTATGTACTGAGGCAGGTACGCAGGGCAGGTACGCAGGGCAGGTACGCAGGGCAGGTACGCAAATACAGAGAGCAGGGTAGTAGGTATGTGACGAAGAGGACCCAACTGGATTGGATTGGAATGAAATGGAGTACTGGACAGGAAGAACATGGGATGGGATGACGAAGATACGAGGAGAGAGCCTCGTCGTTTCACCATGTCACTGTACTCGTACTCTGCCCAACATTAGTCACATCACAAAGTGCGGCACGGAAAGAAAACACGATCAACGACCACGCTCGTATTCAGACCTCTATCTAGATACGTGGGTAAGCACCCCCAAAAAAAAACTTCCGTACCCCTCGAGTAGGATCATCAAACATCGACATCACGTCGTAATAATACACGCCACCAACAAATCTCTTCATCCCTTCAACCCATGAACCCTTCATCTCCAACCCACCAATCAACCCATCCAGTCCAGCCAAGTCCGATCCAAAATCGAGGCCCAACCAAAGAAAGCGCCGCGAGGCTACATAATCTGTCTTTCCGATAAAGTTTTTTTTTATCCATGCACGTCCATCGTATATCCAATCCAATCCATAATCAAGGCTGTCCCAAAAAGAAATCTAAACATTCCAAGCAGCGAGGAATCCTGTTGAAGATTGGACCAAAGAAAAAATCAGGCAAGAATTACATGCAGGGCAAGACATGGTGTAGTGAGATGAGGCAGACGGTTAATGATCCGGGGCGAGGAGCGGCGCCGGGAGTGCAGATGTCGGGCTCATAAGCGATTCCTTTGCAGCCCTGTTTTGACCTCCATCTATTTTTTGAGGATATTCATGATGATGAAGAATGAAATCTTCCTGTAGTCATAGATTCGCCCGAGTATCTCACTTGCCACTGCTTCGGTGGCTAGATTTGGAAGACTTGGAGCTTCGCGAATCTCTTGGCTCTCGTGTTGTTCGGTATTCTGAGGCTCGCGGGGCATCCTCTTCGTAGACGGATTGTTCGTGATGAATGATCTCAACTCGACCGTCTTTTGAGATTTTGCTGGTGATGTATTTATTTTCTGGAGGTGTTAGTGGAATCAACACGGATTTGGTAGAAGGATAGAGACGAACCATTGTCTGGGACCCGGTAATATTGCACTCGGGATGGTTCATAAGACATGCTGGAGTTGGCAGAGGAGTGATGGCCGGAATGGCTATCGTAGTAGGTGGATTCTCTGGATGATGAACCACTAGAGTGGATAATTGGGCGTTGGGAGTTGTAAGAGGAGTTGGAGGAGTTGGAGGAGTTGGATGACATGGTGTATATGGGGAATAGCTCAGTAGTATAGTCAAGACAAGATTGGAGGATGTTTGTCTGGATTTTTGGCAAAGAGAAACGGGGTGGTGATTGCTACTTTATGCGAAGCAATGTCAAGTAGTGTAAAGGGAAGTGAGGCGTGAGTCAAGCGGTCGCTGCTGTGTGATCTCATGGCTGGGTGAAGCGAGGAGGAAAAGAGATTATATACACGTTTGCCATTCTCCAATGGGGTCAGAGAATGAGAATCGAGGCCTCATGAATGAAGAGTGACTGATACCTTGGCCAGTCCAGGCAGATCTCAACCATTTCTCCTTGGGGCGACTGACCCTGGATGAAATTGCCGTTCCAGGTTGCCTTGGGAAACAGCATCCAGCGATTTCATTTCCTGGCCAACTTTGGCTTGGGAGAGAGAGTCCCTCACCCCCGGTGACTCATGGTGGCTCACCTGTCTCGCTGAGTGCTTTTGGTGACCGTGGACAGCACTGCTTCAGAGTGCTTCAGGGTGAGTGACGTTGGGGAAGCGAGGAGCTCAACCGTGAAAATAGTTCCCATCCAGGACGAGACACCGACTCCACGCCGGGATATGGCTTGAGTGACTGCCATTGCACCAGCAACATGCCCTGCCTGTGGACCCTCAACAGTGTCGCTTGTAGGCGGTGTTGTGGCAAAGTAAGGGCAATGACTGTGGCAGCAGAGAGGGCGAAGGGGGAGGGAAGGGGGAGGGAAGGGGGAGG